CAGAAAAACCCAACAAAAGATTCGGGGTTTTTCCCTGACTTTAGAATGATCTTGTTTTTCTTTGTATTATTCCCGACAAATACTCATTCTTTCCCGTATTGCCTCAGGAAGTTTGAAGGAGTAATGAGGTCGCATCCATGGAGGTGTTTAAAGTGCCTTGGACTCAAGCTAGTTGTTACCTTGAAGAGCCTGAAGCCTTTTATTTTTATACTGTCTTATTGAATTTAATAATCTTTAATGTGGAATAGCTTATGGCATGGGTTTGTTTTTTCAAGGTAGAGAAAAATGGTTACAGATGTTTGGTGATTCATGGTGTAATTTTAGCAAACTGTACATCTGCTCTGGAATAAAACTATATTCTTAGGCTAGCTAGAATGATAGTAAATTGGTTATTGCAGTTTATAATGAGCTTTAAATTGTCKTAGAATTTTTGTTTAGCAAAAGGCTTCCTGGTAGTCAAAGAGTAAAGTAGAAAGTGAGAATTATTTAAAGTTCTGACAGTGAGAGACATGAATATAAACGCTTTTCTTCATCTTGCTCGTAAGTCACTGCTTTCAGCACAGATCAAACAGTGACCACCTGTTACCTGTCACCATAATCCTACAAAACACTGACAGAACCCACATCCCCTCCTGTGACCARCCTGCTGGAACCATCCAGGGCTGAGCCCTGAAAGGGAAATTGCAAAAGCCCAGGCACAGAATGAATGAAGAACAAGCAGGTGATTCACTGAACATTAAAGCCATCTCCAATGTTCTGATGTCAAAGTSCTGTTTATGCTCGATTTTATTACTTTGATGGCTTTTCAGTGTAAAAAGAATGATGATGTTGACAGTTGTTCTTGCTTTACAGCATTGTCAAAGAAATGGAGTTGTTAAAATYGGAAATTAAAGGGAAAAGGTAATTGAAGTGGTGCAACTGGAAAAGTTTTGACTAAATTTTCTAGTTAAATTTAAAAATAGAAGATAAGAGGTAAAAATTCTAGGAATTGAAGAACTAGTGTATACCTATCTATATCTAGCTCTATCTCTATATCTATATACATTCTATATATATTCTATATATATATCTATATATCTATATTTATATCCATCTATCTATGTCTATATATATAACCTAAATCAGTGGCAACTATTACTGGATAATTTAAACCTTGCCCTTTAGTATTTTTATTTTCTGGGTGCCATAATAAGGGAGCRTATTCTGAGTTCTTCAGCTATTGATTTGTTGCTTGTCTGTTCCCYTGGAAAGTCAGATGAAGATCAGCACGACAATATTTATAGGCTGCATCTCATCTGTGGGATGCAATCCATCTTCGTTAACTTCAGTAAAAGTGATAGATAGCATTTGGCAACGTAATGATGTGATCACTCTGGCATTGCCTTTGTAAATCATAAGCTGTTGCATTCTCTTGTGTAGATATTTAATCAGTTATACACCCCATTACTGATTTAATTCAGAACGTCAGTGGCAGGTGAATAATGTGAGTATTTGTATATTAATATCATATTGTATTAATGTTCTTTTCATTTAAGTATGCTATTCATGTGAAAATCATAAACTGTTGCTTCATGGCTAGAATAAATTTAATCAGTGCTGTAGGCATCTAATGCCATCAGTGTTTTAATTCAATATGTCAGTGAAACAAATGGGATTCTTTTCATTTCCACTTTCTTTATGCTTTACCAGTTCRGAATATTACATGATGCTGCAAAAATATGAAGCTTAGAGTAAACAAATTGCTAATTTTCAACYTGTCAGTGGCTTTTGGGACTAAATCCCCCAACTGTAGCACCAGAGAGGATGAGTCCATATTTCTGATATATTATAGAATAACTGAATATATAATGATAAATTAAGTTTAAGGGGAAAAAAAGTGCTCTAGAATATTCCTTAAAGAAGTATGAACTAAGTAAATACAAAATAACGTCTGTGCAAACCAGTGATGATATAACACTGAAATGCAATTTTTCAGGAGTCTTCATCAGTATGTGAATGTGAATCTGCTAGAAGGTTTTAGTTCTAAGTAACAACCTGAAAGTTTAGAGGACCATTTTTAGGATCAATTCTGTCCTCAGTCRCTAATTTATCACTGATAAAAAGATTTACAGGAATTTGGAGATACATCCATAATCTCTGAATAAAAAAAATATAAAAATTAACAAAAAAAAAACCAAACCAACAGACACCCAAACAAACAACAAAAAAGGCACAACCATATAAACTAAGAAAAAAACTGGATTAGTGAGGAGAAATTATTATCCTGAAGATTTCCCTGAATAGTGCCCTGATGGCACATCCAGCTCACACCACATGCTAACAAGAACAAAGTTACTTGTGTTATTCATTATAAGAATTTATCTAAAACTTGTATCCCTCTCTAGATCTTATGCCCTTGACTTTAAAACTATCTTATTTATAGATTTCTAAAACTGTTAAATGAGTCACTTCTATATTGGTGGAGTTCTCAATTCCGTAAGTACAGAACATGATAAAACTCAAAGTTTATTAGCAAATTAAAGAGTGCACCTGGTGTAAATCCTTCAGAATTAATACTTTTGGTGGAGTTAAGAAAATGCAGTTGGTGTGTGTTGCAGCGGTTCATAATTAATTAATTTTTTTCTTGTGTTAAAGCAGTTGAATTTCTCTGATTTTTTTTTTTTTGGGAGGGGGGTAAAATCATATTTTTTTACTCTGAGTTTTTCTGTTTGAGTCATTTATGAAACAATTATCATTTACAGGTTTTTCACCTGGACCTCATCTTTGAAATAGTGTTTTTTAGATTGCTTTATTTTAGCCCTGCTCCACTGAGAACATTCATATATATGGCAGAGTTTTTTGGCAAAACTGCATATTTTAGATATTTTATTAAAGTATTTTTCATCTGTGTGCTAAACGTTCTCTTGTCTTCATACCTGCCAAAACCTTCCATGTATCTGTTTTCTAAAAATTTAGAAACTGTTATTTTATAAACCGTAACTTGGATTTAAACCTTCTTCTGTCACCATTTACAGACCTAAACATGGAAGTGCAGTATGATGTGTTGGTCCTGTCTAAGAAGGGGAAATTTTGCTTTCTAATATGTGTGGAAAAATTGAGTCCTCCTCTTTAGTACAGAAATTACTCATAAAACAGCAAATCTGGTGTTGTAGAGCACTTTCATCCTTGCAGTGATGTTTTAGTCAGTCACATCTCTCTCTGACAGGAACATCATTATCTTTTGTCTGCTCTACAAGACTTTTGGGCTTTATTCTGTAATCAATTTGGTCTCAGATTTCTTGGCAGAATCAGACAGGAAACAAAGCTAAAGTTGATAGAAATTCAAGAGGTTACATGAGGAAATTAGCATTTTTTTCTGTCAGTCATCATACAATTGAAGAGCAAGAAATGCTGGTTTGTTTATACAAATGCAGTGTAGAATTGGTCAGAAAATGTCARTGCATCTGTCRTTTTTTAATAGAATCATAGARTATCCAAGTTGGAASGGACGCACAAGGACCATTGAGAATAAGTTGTGATTCCACRCAGGGAAACTCAGTATTTAAACCATGTATCTAAAAATATTTATTTTAGTTCAGGGAATTGTATGTAATGGCAAATTTGGATTCARTGTATAATTTTAATGGAAATCTCTATCATGATATTTGAAATAACTGATTATCTTTGAATTTCAGCTGGTGATTTCTAATACCTTCACTATATTTCAATATTTTGAGTTACTTGTGGGTGAGCTGAAGATACATGGGATCTTTTTCCTAAATTCTGTTTTGTAAGAAGGCAAACTATTTTTACATCTATTTACATCCCTTTAAGAAATGTCATCTCATTTATTTTTTTTCTGTTGTTTCTTCTTGAGTACAAGTCACTGATATTTCTCCACAGATATTTACAAAATGCAGTGAGAAGATGGCCAAATGCTTTAACATGAAAAAAAAAAAAAAAAAAAAAAAATTATTGATCTCATAGATTTATTTGCTTCAAAGTTTTGATTCAGTGCTTGCTCTTGCAGTGTGATCAAACTTCTTTTGGGACTTTCTGTTCTGTGTATATGAATTGCAGAGTAAAAATTCCATCTTYCAGCAAGCTGGATGTGAATTGTAATAGCCAACATAATGTAATCCCAATTATACTTCTAGATTTTTGCCTTCTGTAGCTCATTAATGAGCTGCATGAGCCTTCTGGTCTAAAAATATTTGTTTATAGCAAAATAATAAGTAAGTTAACAACATATATATTTCTGTAGTAATTCACAMATAACAGTAGGATATAATTATTCCCATTTCTCCCAGTCTGTCGCTTTTATATATTGGGATTCAGTATCATTTGTCATTTCACGAACCTGAATATATGCTTTAGTTGTAGTTATTAATATTTTCTTTTGTTTCTAGCTCACAGTTTTTTATGTTGAATGGAAGAGTGTGATATTGTGGCTTGTTAAAACTATATATTGATGCTGAGACTTTCAGAGTTGGTATTTTTTCAGTATTTTTCAGGTGTTTAACAAAAGCCAATACAGTTAATAACATCAGGGCACTTTGGTCCCTGGTTCTGTAACATGTGTCGGTATAACAAAATACATTGAGAGAGAAATCTAAATAATACAAATTACTAGTGAGAAAATGCCCTAGACTTGGTTTAAATTATATTTGAAGGAATGACTTAATAGTTTGTTGTCTTTAATAAATGTTTGTTATTTCTAATGTGTTTTTTGGGGACACTGTAGTGGCAATATTAGTTTGGTGATTGTTAGAATTGACCAGTGTAGTAAAGGGTTGTTAACAGTAGTTCTGCCCTCTGTGCTTTTTTAGTTTAAATATATGAACAAACATAGAATATGTTGATTCCAATAAAATAAATGAAGTGCAAATGATAAAAGTAACGGCAGAGTAAATCGCCTGAAATAGCTGAACTCTGCGACTGCGCAGGATCAACTCCACAGAAAAATAAAACAAATGTTGTGTTAGCAGTAGTTTCATTGGCTCTGTCACCGTGTCTTGCAGATGTYGGGTCAGTGGAGGGACTGGCTTATCACAGAGCCTGGGACACTCTGTACTGGACCAGTTCCACCACCTCCTCCATCACCAGGCACACCGTGGACCAGCGGCGCCGCGGGGCGTTCAACCGCGAGGCCGTCATCACCATGGCCGAGGATGACCATCCCCACGTGCTGGCCCTGGATGAATGCCAAAAGTATGTCTTACATCCCTCCCACAACAATCCAATTCTGCTGTCAAGCAGCATTCTTTATTTAATCAACAAATGCTGCTGAGCCCTATGAAGGTTGATCAGATTTCTCCGTTTAGAAGACAAATATTCATGTGTTCTATTGTTAGTATCTTTTATTGTTTTGCTCTTATAAAGGAGTCACAGAATAAGACKTAACATTTTATGTTTCAGGTCAAATAATCATTACATTCTCATGGAATGTTCAAAAATTCAACAAGCTTTTATTAAGAGTGAGCTAAATGGAAATTAGTGAGCGGTCGTGTTGCTCTTATTGGTTAAGTGAAAAATAAATCAAAATTGATTTAATTTAAGCACTTACAAAAAGAAGTCTGAGTTTGTATGTAAGGTAGAGGCCCATGTGTTTATCACAGAAATCAGTGTTGTATAAAATATGTAACGATGGACAAAATCCTGCAAARAAGTCAAATTTAGTTCCCTTCCTGCCTCTCTCAAAAATGCTCTATTTCTCAGTAAGAGGATTTATATTTTTACTTCAATGTCCTACCCATTTGAGGTACTTTTTTCTGTTAATTCTGGAACAAGGGCAGCCTTCTTTGTCTGCTTCTTGTAACTGTCTCTCCTTTGGGGAAGTTGAGGAGCATTTCTTCCATAKTAAACTCTATTTTTAATTTGCGGTAGCTGAATGTACAAACTCGCACGAGTAGTGGAACTTATTTCCATGAGTGACTTCATGTCCTGCTCATGCAAATTAAGAGTTTCTGCTGTACTGTAAAATACAATTACCRAGGTATCAAAAATAAAGGCTGCAATGAGAGGAGGGGCGGGTTCTGGTCAGGAATTGGAATTCCATCCACAGCCCAGTCCATAACACTGCTCTGTTATTGTTAACAAGAACAAGGGGCTGACCTGTGGAGGACATTAAGGTCATTTTCTCTCCATTGCCAACTTTCTGCACACCAGTTGTATTATGGGAGAAGCTGCAGATTCATTTCACTGTTAAAGATTACTAATACACACATTAGCAGGATGAAGTTTATCTCATTACACAGCTTGTATCTCTCTCTGATGGTATATTGCTGTAGAGACAAGATCAGGATTGAACAGATCTGTTAGAGAAAATAATATGTACTCCTATACAAATTAATGAACTGGGAAACTGYTATAATTTATATATATAATTTATTTATAGGCTATTACATTTTCTTATTCACYACTGATTATCACAATTWYTTATAGATGCTATTCAGAATTGTTTATTAAGGCATTTGTTTTTGGTTTTTTTTTCTCTGTTGTTTATTTCATAGAGAATTAAATTATAAAATGTATCTTATGGTTTTGTTTGTTATTTTGATTTTAATGCAGCTTAATGTTTTGGACTAACTGGAATGAGCAGCTCCCAAGCATCATGAGATCCACCCTCTCAGGCAAAAATGCCCAGGTTATCATTAGTACAGATATTCTGACACCAAATGGACTCACCATTGATCACAGGGCGGAGAAACTTTACTTTTCAGATGGCAGCTTGGGAAAAATTGAGAGATGTGAATACGATGGATCACAAAGATATGTAAGTAAATCAGAAATCCTGAACATACTCTTTGTATGTTTGTTTGCATTCATTACTCTCTGCAAAGTGAAATTGTCACAGAAAGATCATTAATTGCCTAAATTTCTCCTAGTATTAGTTCYACGTTAAATTTAAAACTTAAAACTCTATTGAGATATAAATAATGTTGTTTACTCAAAATTTATTTTGTGTAATGCTTGAGTGTTACTTGACAAATCTGATTTCTAATCTTTTATCACTATACATGTTCAAATATTGAACTGTTCTCTCCATTATTCTTCTATCATAATATATTTTGGTCCTTTAACACTTTTAGTTTCAGCTCAAGTAGATCTTTTACTGGGAATTGCTGAAGGCAGTTGATCTGTGCTTGTGGTTTTGTTAATCTTTAGCACTACATTTCTCATATTTCATAAAATCTTCACTCTGGGGATTTTGTACCTCCCAAAGTTCAGGATAAAATGAATGAAGTGCACTTTCTGTTGTGTTCAATTCCCAGCTATACGAAATTAGTGCACATTACCTCAATTTCATATTCCATTAACTTTTTTTAAAGTGCTTCTTATGCAATATGAGCTTTGAAATATTGTTTCATCTTTAATGAAAATTACGTGTTTTTTCTGGAATCTTATCCAGAAGTTCCCCACACTTTTTTTTTTGACAAAATTTTTGTCAGAGTAAAATAGGAGAGCTGAGCTTGCAAGAGCAGAACTGGAGTACAATCAGCGTTGCTAGGCATGTGCTTTTCCTTTTTTCCTTTTGTTTTTCTTTTATATAAATTAACCACAGCTCACCAATGCTTTCAGGTGCARTAATTATATCAGAAACTGGGCAAACCAACCAAATGTATTCTGAAGCTTTCAATCTCTGACTATACCCTTAGTAAACCAAAACAGAAGTACAAGGTAATTAGTTAAGTACAAGGCAATTAGTGGGTTGTGATTAAACAGTTTAACTTCATCTTTGCATAGGGTATAAAAAAAAGCACCATGGACACTAAATAACACACGATGCTACTTAGTTATGGCAACCATTGCTAAAATACCATGTTTTTATCAGGCCTTTGGCTTTTACTTTGCATTAGTAAGAAAACTGTTTTCTCAGCAATTAAATATTGAAACTGCCAGTTTTCTGAGTATGTCACCTCTTGGTTTGGCTTTCTGACATTTTAACTCTTCTTCCCTACAGGAGTAAACAAAAAAAAAAAAAAAAACTCCTGAATACAATAAACTGTGTCCAGCATGCTCTTCTGAAGCGTTTTTGGGAATCATAGAGTGTTACACCAATACCTGTTGTGAGATAATCAGCTAATTCTGTTGTGAGATAATCAGCTAATTCTGTTGTCAATATTTTTGACCTGGGTGAGGATTGTTACCCCCGAAGGGAAAGCCCAGCAGGCTGCTTGGCCTCTCCAGCAGCACTTCAGCAGTGGCTGAGCAGATGTRTTTTTACTGGTACAAGCAATGCCACAACCCAGCCTGGTCACTGCASTGTTGATCTAGTCAGATAATATTTCCAGGGCAGTTGTTTTACCTTGTTCATAAATTGCCCATCTGGATGATATATCTAATTTCTGTGAATCAATGCAGTTGGATTATTCCACTATGCTGGTGATCTCAGTTTCTTTGGGGTGTTCCACAATGTTCCTGCCATCAACCACCCGTCAAAAGCACTTTAAACAGATTACCCTTTTCCTCACGTTCTTGCTTCATTTCTCCCTAGTTTCAGTTAGGTTAACAGGGGTAGAAATTGGATGGTAGAACATGAAGGGCTAATGGTAATGTAATGAATTTTCTTCCAGATAGCAGCTTCTTTTCTTCATTCTACTCACTGCAGTCTAGTACAATGAATTAGTAGAAAATCATTTAGCAATATTGAACTGACTCTTTAAAGTGGATTGTAAGGGTTTATTGATTTTGTGTTGAGCTCATATTTTAATAGTATTATTTGGTTTCTGGAATGCTCCTTAAAGTTTGGAAGATTTTTTTGTTACTTTTGTTCCTTTTTATTACTGAKAAGATATTAAGTTTGTTGAGGTTTGTGGTATTTTTAAACATTTTTTTTATTCGGTCAGATCTTCAAATTTGAAAAACAGAAATGGCAATTATCTTTCTCACAATGCTTACCATTTCCTTTCATTTTTGTTGTTGTCTTTACTTGGATTTAATATTGTGGCTTCAACTGTTTTTAGCTGCTTAATGTTTTAATTATAACATTATTTTTCCATGAACACAGAAACAGAGCTAACAGCAAATAAAGCTGATTTCATGTTTTGGACTCTTTTCCAATAAATCATGAACTAGTTTGATTTATTCTTTTCCTTTTCCTCTTCATCGTTAAGTATTTTGTGACATTTTAAATGTGAAAAGCTAGATTTCTAAAAAAAATTCCTGTGAGCAGTTATTTTTTAACATCCAGGTTGGAATATTTTAGTCTCACTTATGTTTTTGTAGGCCCATAGATGTGATTATTAAAATCAATATGGGTTTAGAGGTGTTTCTGGTAATTATAACCTTAATGWAATTGCAGCCTGCCAGTAATTGTAACTCTCAGTTTTTAGGATGTGTTTTTCTGCTGAATTTCTGTATTAAGGCAATTAAACAAGTTCCATACTTGGTGTTCAACTTCTGTTTTATTCAGTAACATTTCATCAAATCTGTTCAAACTACTAAATGCAGAAGTGGAAACTTTAGGTTTGGCCATGCATTTATGAAAAACTTGGGTTCATGATTGACCTTAAAATGACTTTTCATGCCTGTTGTTATATTTATTTGTAGTACAGGTGTCACTGAGGAGAGCAGAATAATTTTGGCYGGTTCTGGGAAGGTTTTCATGATGACATCAATGTTACTTTGGGAGGTGACTGAATAACTCACTAAGGCAGGATAAAAGTGAGATCAGCCAAGGCAGCTAGAACAGAGAGTAATTATGCAAAATATTAGCAATTTAGAATGTGGAATGTAACTCCATTACAATAAGAATATGCTAAAAAAATATTAAAAGAGGTTTTCACTATGATCCAAGTATTAGAGGTTAAAAATGATGCAAGTCCTGAATGTGACTGTGTTGAACAAGTTCATTGTTATAGTCTCTRTGTACAAATAAATATTCAGAAATTAAAATTAACCCGAAGGAAAATCATGTCAACTAGAATGCAGGTGTTTTAACTATTATTGATGGTTGTCTAGGAAAAAAAATTAAGTTGAGCCTAGTTTTACAGAGAAATTACTTCATCAGTTTCTCTGYAATTATTTTAAATGACCCTGGAAACAATAATAGCAGAAAAACAAGAAAGGTTAGTAAAAAGTTATGATGTTAGCACAATATGCACAATTTACCACCTAGACATTTAAGTTCCCTGTGCTTTGATTCTCCTGTTTGCCCCGTTACGATAGTCAAGGGAACAAGAGTTAAATTCTGGGCTTTTTAATAAATTCTCCTTTCTGAGTTCGAAAAACATCTGCAACAGTATAGATATTCTTGGCAGTTAATGGTACTAGAAGTGAATTTGTGAGTTTTTTAAAATTTTCTCTGTCCAGCAATATAAATACAGTTGTTGTAGCAGGAATGTTCTATGCTTGATTCTTTTCTCTCAAAATATAAAAAAGTCTTTGCTCCTCAGCTTTTCAAATGCCCATGTTTCCTTTTAGCATTCATCTGAAGAAGCCCAAAATGAGTTGATAAATACCCTAATTGAGAAATACCAAAACCAAGAGAGCAATACTCACCCCCTGCTTGATTTGCTGTATTTCTAAAGAAGTTCACTTCATTGACATTGATGAGTTGCTTTCTTTCAGTAGCTCTGTAAAGAAATTCTAAGCTTGAACTTAATGAAAGTTTTTCCCTATCCAAAGGCAGTAAAATCCCYTAATCCCTGTGAGGTGGATACCTGGTTGACACAGATTCAACACTGTTTGGGACAGTTTGCTGAAATATCTTGGTGTCCAATGTTGCTAACCTGGTAGAAATGAACTTAAAGAAGGAATTAATGAACAGGTAAAATTAATCTCAAAGGCTGTGGACAGCAAGATTATTTATAATACCTCAGGATCCAACAAAAGTCTGGGATATTGAAGTAAATTAACATTAGGTAAAGCTGTTGTTGTCATTTATAAAGTTGAAAATAATTTGTGTGATTAATAGGCATGCAGTTCCAAAGAATGTGGTTAATACAGTGGTGGTTTACAGAGCTGGGTACTTCCCATTTCCATGGCACTGAAAAGTACAGGCCTTTTATAAACAGTTGCTTAATCCAAATAATCCATCATTCAGCTGAACTGCAAACTGAGTATCAGCTGGAATAGTGCAAATTCAGCACTGGAGTTTGGTTTTCAGTGTCTTAGAGGTTCATTTCTAACACAGAGAAACAAAAATGAGTTATTGAAGAGGAAGCACTTCTGATTTTGTTAATTTTGTGCTTGGAAAATTCTTTGGAAATGTGATGTTGCTGTGCTGGGTAAGCATGGTCTTCTGCTATGCCCACTGTATCCTTTTCTGTGTGACTGCAATTCTGGTTATTTTGAAGGCAAAAGTGAAAGATAAAATGAATGAAAGGAAAATTCATGGATTAAAGCTATGATGAAAATAGTCTTCATTCAAATCAATCRGCAAAAAGCATCACAGCAAACAAAATCAGGAGTTTAATCTAAATGTACCTTGTTTGGTAAATAAGTCAAATACATAAAAGTTACCAGTTAAATTATTTCATTTTCCCCTGTCTGCACAACAGATTTCCCTATAGTTCAGTCTCATGTATTTTTTTCCATAGCTTCCTSCTCTATAATCTTTTAAAATCAGTATTCGTAACTTAACAATAAATATAGAATATCACTTTATGTCTTTCATTTTAAAGAATAAATAGCATTGAATAATGTGGTGCTCTGTATAAGTCGGTTCTGTTAGATTTTTTTTTTTTTTTCTGATATTCATCTAAAATGTTTGTTTTTAAATTACTGCTGTCACTTTATGGTTGTATAATGATTTTAATATGAAATTAACTTTAAATTGTCAGTATTTTTAGCCTTTTTCAAGTGTAGTTTTCTGTATTGGAGTTGTTAYTCTGTTATAGAACTCTAAGTAGCTTTGGGTATCTTTAGGAAAATGAAGAGCCCTTAAAAACATTTAAAAGCTTTATTAGATAGTTCTGCCCATTTATCAAGCATTTTGAAAGAGAAATATTATCAATAATCCCTTCATTAGAGTTAAAATGCTTTGAAAAAAAAAAGTAAATCATATTTTAAGCTGGAGCATTAACTTTATGCACTCCTCTTTAAAAAAACCCTCAGTATTTCTATAAAAGTTTAGTGTTGTCATGATAAGAATCATTGAATGTCATTCTTACTGACAATAAYAAGAGTTTTATATAAATCATCAAAATTATAGTATTCTGTTGGAAATTCTCATCTACCTGACAGTCCTACCTGGCTGGCTTCTTTCCTCTTTCAATCATATTTTTCTGGAGAAGCTGCTACACAGATCTCAAATTACAGATGTTATATGAAAAACCAAAAGTTTTCTGGACAACTCAAAAAMCAGAATTTAAAAAGGAAAGAATCACAGTTAAAATTAAATTGTTCTTCAACTTCTCACATCCCCAGATCTCCTCATCTCTATCTCCTCATCTCTTTATGGGAACCAGAGAAACATTTCATGTGTTACTCAGAGGTTGAAATATTTTTTTTATGATGCGTATTGGCATAATTTAGTATTCAAAAATGGGATGTACTCTTGGGTGTGTCTGATTTCCACTCTTTCAGGTGGTTAAAGGATGCTAGGGATCTCTTTTCATGATTCCTTTTAAGTTTTAAAATGGTTCTTGGGTTGCTGGAATTTTTGGTATAAATTTAGACCTAAAAACATAGAAATAAAAAATGGTCACAACTTTCAGTATTATTCCATAAATTAGAATATTTAAAAGACTGTAAAGTTGGCCGAAAGCTGATAGAAATGAGAACTCTTTATTTAGAATGCTTGAATAAAAACAATGTCCTTGGATAGGGCTGTGACATAATTCAGGGCCTTCAGGAAATTAAATACAACATTAGTGAACAAATGATTGGGGTGTTTGTTTTTGTGACACTTTATTTGGATCTCAGCCGTCCAAGGTTGAACAACAATGATCAGTTCTGGAATGTTACAATCTGAAAGAAATTAGGACAGTGCTGCCCCACAGAAATGTGAGCAGRGCAGTGCCTGCTTTTGCATTGCTTCTTACAATAAAATCTTTCCAACTGGGACAGTTTCACATTATCACAGAATAAAACAAATTGCAAAATCTGCATGGCCAGATTTCATACAGATCTTTCAGGAACACACATGATTTTTATTTTTCTTTTTCCTGGAATGTCTGGATATTAATAGTGTAGGCTTTTAAGAGTATCTTATGAAAAATGTYTTACTGTAAATGTGCACGATTAGAAAAGAAGTCTTCTGCTCTTAATATATTCTTTTATCTTTTAATTCTTTTAGTTCTGGAAAAGGGTTGGTTAGAGAAAAGTTGTCCACTTGGGACATTTATCACTGGGAAAGATGTTTCCTGGAAAAACTGATTTGCTGTCCAACCTTCTTTAAAATATGCAGAAATACATGATGTGCATAGTGAAGCAGAATTTGTTATAATTATCTGATTAATGTAAGTAATTTTGACGTGCTGTCTGTATAAGTGAATTTAAACATGAACAGGAATGTTCCTGTGCACAGGATGGGAATTATTTATGTTAGCAGATTGTTGAGATACCCTGGGCAGGGAACTRGCACAGGTGGGGACAAACCTGGAGCATCCCTTGGTGTTGAATCCTGCAGAGATGGGGCACTTACTTCATCTCCAGGGCATAACTTTGGGGATTTTGTTTCAGAAAATGAAATTTGGCTGTCCTGTATGTCAGGTGCATATGTTAGATGGAGAGAAAGACTTCCTATGCACCCACCATTAATTGTTTAATTACAAAATATGGGATTGACTACTCCTTTCTCATTCCAGCATTTTCTAAAGGGTTGTCACACAACATCCAGTTGTGAGCACAAAGTGCTCGGATCCGTCAGTTGTGCTGGTTCATGGAGATTTCCATAAAATCTCATTTTTGTTACAAACTCCCTTTGGGAAAAGGGATAAAGCACACAGAGCAGATGGAAAACCATGGTGATCTAAGTAGAAATAAGTTCAGGATGTTATTTTTCTAGTTTTATCCAAGTTTCCCTATGATAATTAGCACATAGATACAGGATTTTTACATTTTTCCATAGCTGGGGTCAGAACTGATGATAAACCTGTAGTAAGACTGAATAAAAATATCGAGCATTATTTATCTCCATTAACTAATGGAGAAATACTAAYCCCTTCCAGTAATTCTGCTCAGCCAAAGTTAAACTTTCTGCTAAAAAAAAAATACTTAAAAATTGTCAGATTCTTCAGAAGATAAACTGTTAATGTGATTTTTTTTTAAATTCTGATAGATGGAAAGAAAAAGCATATGCAAATATTTTGCAGGAGCTGTGATTTTGATTGGGATCAAATTCATACTATTTCTAGAATTTTCTTCAAACCTCACTTTATAGTGAACTTCAATGCATTTTTTGTTCCTAGGTTTTGCATTTATTATTACTAGGGTGAGATTCTTTTTCTAAACTGGAAAACACAAACCATTTATTGCCTTGAGTTCAAGTTTCTAATGTGATGATTTGATGAGCACTCTTCAGTTCTAAAAAGGGCTCCTCACTYTGGTTCCTAAGGACTGAATTTTCTGACTTTCAGCCATGCTGAAAGAACCCCTCTCTTTTCTGTCGGAGCTATTAAGCAGGTAGYGTGTTGAGTAGGTATTTTTACAGGCACATTTAGATAAACTGTGATTTTTTTAATTAAGGAACAGATGCCTGGTTTTCTGAAATTTGGATGCCTGTAGCATCCTTTTAACACATTCTAAGTGCTGTTATCTCATTTTCCCAGGTGCTGCAGGTATGAAAGCATTAAGTGTTTTGTCTAAAAGCGATGGGAGTCACAGTTTGCACTTTAAAAACTTCTTGCTCAGTGACAGCATTTCTTCTCCTGTTTCTCTCCTGCTYTTTTGCCTTTCAGGTGATTGTCAAGTCTGGCCCAGGCACCTTCCTCAGCCTGGCAGTGTATGATGAGTACATTTTCTGGTCAGATGGAGTGAGGAGAGCCATCCTGCGTTCCAGCAAATACACGGGAGGAGACACCAAAGTTCTTCGTTCCGACATCCCGCACCAGCCCATGGGAATCATTGCTGTKGCCAACGATACCAACAGTTGTAAGCTCCACAGCAGTTTTCTTAATGCCAATTATCATTCATTTCAGGATTTTTATTTCATTTTAACCATGTTGAAAGATTATGTGGTGTTTCATAATTTTTTTTAAAGAAAAGATGGGATATAACCTCTTCCCAGGTGAATAGATATTCAAAATTTTCTCCTGTGGGTGTTGAGCTCAGCAGATAGCAGTTAAATATTTTCCTGTCAAAATTTCAGCAGTTTTGAATGCTGCAGGTTTTKAAAATTATTATTTTCCAGTTGTTTGTTTATCTTTAGCATGCCAGCATCCGAGGGATGCTGACATTTYCATCCGGCTGATAAAACCCGAATCAATTGCCCGTGAGTCTGAGATAAGGTGATCCTTGCCCTCTCAAAGACATTGGCCATTGAAGCAAATCTAATAAAATAARAGTTGATCTCTTGTCATTTGTTTTCCAGGTGAGCTATCTCCCTGTGCACAAATGAATGGAGGCTGCCATGATTTGTGCCTCCTGACACCTGATGGACGAGTGAACTGCTCRTGTCGAGGGGACAGAATCCTGATAGATGATAACAGATGTGTGAGTAAGTAATGGTAGCTGACATGATGCTTTTCTGTGCTGTGATGCAGTTGGCTTTCATAAGACAGTTGGCCCAAGCCATTAACTTTATTTCTTCTGTATACTGTAAAAATTGATCTGGCAATTCAGCACAAACCAGGCTTTTAACTCTTTGGTCTTACAAGTCTTTGTTAGTCCTTTGAGGGGTTTTAAAAACATTAATACTCTCTTGAAACACCTATTTTGTGGTAGTGGGATACTGTTTCTTGTTAATAGTTGGGATTTTTACACATCTATCACATTTTTTTGCTGAGAGAAATATCTGTTGTTATCCTTCAGATCTCTCTAGGGTTATGTGGGATCAGTTACTGAAGCTGGACCTTAATTAAAGCACTCTTTCTCACCTCTCTCTTTATGTTGTCAAACCAGTGATTGGCAGTGGAAGTGAAAGAGGTTCAGCAGATAAATTCATATGCCTAACMATTTATTTTACAATAATTATATGGCATTTATATGTTCCAAATGCATYGCTACTCTTAAAATTGCTCTTAGGTAAAACCATTTTTAAACTGTCATCTAGGACATGATGCAAGTTTTAATCTTCTAAATTATTCTGTAGAATGTTTGCAGGAAAAGTTGATCTGAGCTATTAGGAAAAGTAAAAAAAAAAAAAAAAAAAAAAAAAAAAAAAAAAAAAAAAAAAAAAAAAAAAAAAAACTATTAGGAAAAAAAAAAAAAAAAAAAAAGAAGAAAGATATTAAATGTTGGGGTTGAGTAGCACAGAAAGGATGGAAACAAGACAGACTTCAGTTTAGCTCTGAGATCAAAAGTTTTTTTCTTTGTAAGGCAGTTGAAAGGGATACTCAATAAAATTGAAAGTTAGCAATTCCAGCTGAAAAAAGGAATTAACTGTCCTTTCACAGTGTAATTAGGCTGTATAACTTCCTGCCAGTCAARAGTCTTGAGACAAAGCTCCAGTGAAATTCAAAGAGGGAGAGATGATGATATGGGTAATGACTGCTCCGACTACTTACTTGTCATCAAAGAAACACTTTGAAAGGCATTCAAATGCTTTGTTTCTGCAAGATGGAGTTGGAAGCAATCTCCACAAGGGTGTCCAGTTAGATTTGAACTGAGGGCAGATTATCCTATACATACTTTWTTTCCCATTTTTCTCTCTAAAGATTGCCATCTAAGATGCTGAACTAGATGAACTACAAATGTAATTTAGAATTACTTTCTCTGAGTTCTAAATTCTTACAATGCTAGAAAATGGAGGGAAAAGAGAATAAAGTAGTTAAATTAAAGTTTAAAGGACTATGTAATTCATATTCAAGACCAGATCTCACCTTGTCCAGAATCTATATTTTTCCTTCATGTGTGAATCAAATCAAGAAATGCTTTCAATTTATATTGGCTTGACTATTGCATGTAGMAGACATTGGTTCTTCCTGCATTTGTGCTGAGGGGATTAGAATGGAAAAAAAGAAAGAAGCAAAACAACTGGGGATCATTTCCCCATTCTTCTTCCTGAGTTGTCTTAAATACTTCTCTTTTCTCTCCACTTTGAGACTTTGTTTAGAACCATGCTCACAAAGCAGATGTATGACCTTCCATGAAGTTCACGACCAAATTGTTCTGTGTCAAGTTTGTGATATGTTTTTCATAAGTAAAGGAGTAAAAATTTCACAGATATTTGTCAATGTATTTTCTTTTACAGGTTCTCTCTGCAGAAGCTTTTAAGTTCTGATGCCATGGTGTGTTTTATTGTTTTATATTAGGTTTTCAAAATTCTCGTAGGCCAAATTTTAATTGCAGCCAGGATGCTTTCTCATTTTCACCAGCTGTAAATGCTTTTAAAAGCTACGTGTTAATGTGCTTTATTTTCAGGTAAAAATTCAACTTGCAACATCTATTCAGAGTTTGAATGTGGGAATGGTGAATGCATTGATTATCAGCTGACTTGTGATGGCATCACTCATTGTAAGGACAAGTCTGATGAGAAGCTTTTCTACTGTGGTAGGTATTTGTAGATCTTCCACCTTCCTCTTGTAATTTTGGTGTGATACATGCTCAGATTGCTTCCTCTGTGACTTTTCTACTCATTCACACCAACTGCTCAGCCAAGATGCACAGGAAGAAAATGCCAACACACATTAAGAAAACCCTGACACCACACAGAGAGAATTACCTGAAAATAGTTTTTCTTGCAAACTTCACATATTAACTGACATATTTGATAAAAACATTGAAAATATTCTCATATTTCTGTCTCTAAAATAAGAATAAGGAAAAACACAGGTTGCTGCTTTAATATTAAAGGTGGAAGACACTTATTCTACAATACTGAAAATAAATATGAATGCTGATTTATAAATTTATAAGTAGATTTATAAGTAAAAAATTTGTTGCCCGGGGAAGCTGTGTCTGCCCCATCCCTGGAGAAGCTCAAAGCCAGGTTGGAACAGGGCTTGGAGCAACCTGGGATGGTGGAAGGTGTCCCTGCCCCTGGCAGGGGATGGAATGAGATGAACTTTAAGGTCCCTTCCAACCATTCCATGATTCTGTGATTCTGAGGGCCAACAATTTGTCTTTCCGTGGATTTGCCACATGAATTTATGGTGGATATTATATTAATTTGCAGGGTGTCAGTGTACATTTTGCCTCATTTAAATCAACCCTATAGTTTTTTTGCTACACATTGGAAATAAAGCAGGAAGAACTGGGGTCTGCCATGGACTAGGTCAAATACAGAGTATTCCTTTCTGACTCTGATAATGAAGAGGATGCTGGAGTCATCATTACTGATTAATTAATGCAGTGAACTTTAGTATTGTGACATGACTTCTGCAATAATTAAGGCTTTAGTAATCAGTCCTGAATTTTCAAACATCTCATTATGTAAAATTCACACATTCTCCAGTAGTGTTCTTGAGCAAAGTGTTGTTGGTATTGGTGCTCAGAAATCCAGAAAACTCTCTGTTAATATTTGTTGTTATTTTATTCTGCATTTAGTCCTGTTTTGATAYAGGCCAAATTTGGTATGCTTCATTCTACATGCTCACAATAGTGATGCCATATGCAAACATTCTCCCAAAAAAGGCATTAAAAAAAATTTAATACCACAGAATAAAGATAACTGGGAATTAGGCTTTCCCTTTTATTTATTTTGCTCTTTCTTTCATTCTTTCTCATCATGTTTTCATTTATCGTTCTTTATCCCTTTATCAGTCCAAGTTCTGCTCGATAACAGATGAACAATTTCTGAAGTTTTGTGTTTTTTTCCCCATAGCTTCAAATGCGTTCTCAATTAACTTATTTTTCTGCAATGTTTGTTTGGGTTTTGTGTGAGGCCGTTTTCCTCAGATGCCAATCCAATCATGTGCCTGAATTTTGTTTTCCAGAGAACAGGGGCTGTCGGAAGGGTTTCAAGCCCTGCTCCAATCGCCGCTGTGTTCCCAGTAATAAAGTSTGTGATGGTGCAAACGACTGTGGTGACAACTCTGATGAATTTGAATGTAAAGGTAAATGGCACTTATTTCCAAGGTGATTTGGGAATATTGCTTTGTAAATACTTATTATGCAAATAGGAGTAGCTGGAAAATAACCTGTAATTTAATCATCTGATGGGATTGATCTACAGACTGATRTTGGTTTGCACCTACAGTCTTCTAGAAGGAGAGTGGTTTTGGCTGTAAAATAAAACATAAAATATACATTTGTATTATAGATAATATTTTATATTTTATATGTATAAAATATAAAATAGAGGTTCTGTTTCTTCTGTGAAGTAATGAGGGAGTAACTCTACTGCAGACAGGTTGAAAGATGGGTGGTTTCCTCCGCTTCTTCTTTGAAGCAGCAAATGCTCTATTTCTTTGCTTCTCAGATGCATGGCAACATCTGTGTCCTTTGCAAAGCTTATTAGAATTGTTCTCCTTTTTAAATCAGAATTGTTTTTTGGTTTATGTCTTATAACATGAATATTTATATCTGTGCATCAGCCAGTGCATAAAGACCAGCCAGCAGACAACACAAATCCTGAATTACAATTCAGAAATATTGGAGAGGATATTATTCCACAAGATTTATATCTAAAATCCATATAGCTGTAGTAACAAGCAATTTTTTGAAGGCACCAAGTGATTTTTAATCATTTGCCTAAATATAAGTAGAGAGAAAAATATATAGGTAAGAACCTCAAGTTGATTTTACAAAAAATAAATCTGAGAGATTCATGGATCATGCTGAAAATGCTTCTTCCTTCCTCACATAGTATCTGAAAATGAGTTGAATTACCTACAGACACTTTTAGGCTAAAAAAAAAAAAAAAAATTACGAACTTATAAGGTATAATAAACTCAAAATCATGTGTCTGCTGGAAGGTACAGCGTGTTCTGAACGTCTCATTCTAAGAGGCAGAAGGCTTAGCCATCATATGTATAATGTGCATTGGAAGAGTGTGCTCAGCACACAAATTCCCATCCTTTCTGCCCATATGTTCCAGACTCCACGTGCACCTCGACAGAATTCCGCTGCGCAGATGGGCTTTGCATCGGGAAATCGGCGCGGTGCAACCAGATCATTGATTGTGCAGATGCTTCAGATGAAAAGGACTGCAGTAAGTTGGGTTTTGTGYTCCCTCACAGCAGCTGCTCCCTGATTATTCCTTGTTATGCAGCGGTTCGTGCCCGGGCGTTGCTGCTTGAGATGCCAACAAGAGTTTGCGCGAGCTCARCGTAAAAATTAAACTCTGCGGTTCTCAATCCGTGTTAGGTGTGTGGTAATTCACTGTCTCTTTCCAGATAATACAAACTGTGCTTACTTCTACAAACTTGGGATCAAATCTTCAGGATTTATCAGCTGTAATTCCACTTCCCTTTGTATCCTGCCAGAATGGATTTGTGACGGATCTAATGACTGYGGAGATTATACAGATGAGCTGAAATGCCCAGGTAACTGTGAAAAAGTGAAAAAAAAACCAACACAAAAAAAACCAAAACAAGAAAAAATACCTCACCAAAAAAACATAATTTTACTCTTTAAAAGAAGAAAAAATTATATTATTGGGGGGGAGAGTGTTTCTCATTGTGTTGCAAAATGCTTATTCAGTCAATACTGTTTTATTGAACAGARAGATTAATATAATTCTGAATGCAGTTTATTCACCTTTATTTTGTGTTTCATGGGATTATGCAAATTATTACAAATYAATGCTGATTTTTATTTCTCAAGCAAACTGTAATGTCTAGTTTTCTGTTTCCTCCAGGTTAGGTCTGTCATTTATCATTTTTATTTAAGTAAAACATGWGTCATTAAAATGTCAAGCTCATCAAGCATCAGCATAATCACTCAGGAGCTTTTATTAGCTTCTGCTTTAGTGGGTGGTATTTCTTTTCTTGCTGACTTGTTTTACTTTCTCTTTTATTTGGTTGAGGTCCTTGGAATAGGCTGCCAGGGTAGAATCCAGGGTTATTGCTTTTGTGATAGTTCTGGTTTTCAGCCAGGAAAAAGGAATCCTGACAACTTTAGCCCCAGACACAGGACTGAGGTTTTTGCTCTCTATTCAATGTTAACCAATTAATTATTCACAATATTAGATTCTCACGTAATGAAGGATGGCATTTATGTATTTGCTTCATTTTTATACCCTCGTTTGAGTTTGAGAATATTAAGTACAAATTGTAAACATTTTTTTATTTCTATTTGTTCCTATAATTGACTTATTCTAGTGTGAAATTGACCCCTTGTTGTCTAATAACTCTGTTTCCTCTAAGAACTAGCATTTAATAAAGTAAAAAAAGTAATAAAGTAAATGAATATTTATTAAATAATAAATTTTATTAGTTTGTAAAATTAAAACATCTAGTATTATGTTTTTCAATGCCATCAAATTCTTGCTTACTAGTGGACGCAATCTGATTATTTCCATTTAATATTCTCTTTTTCTGTGCGATAATCCTGTTGTGCCAGCAGAATGTTCTATTAGGATTTTCATATTTATTCTGGCAAATTTGTTGGCCAAAATATTATCAGGATCCAGAGAAACCTGGGACTTCAGCAATACTGTCAGCCAACCTGACATTAAGAACTTCTATCAATCCTATAAAATAGATGCATGTTTAAGTTATAGTTTCCATTCCAATCTCTACATTCTCCAGATTCTCTCTTAATTATGTACAATTTATTGTATATAACCCTTCATTAAGCTCGAAATAGCTTAGATTTACTGTATTTCCWTTCAAAGAAAGGGCTTTTTCCATACCAAGGAAAATTTTGAGGGCAGTGTGCTATAGCTCCAGTAAACTAATGTTGCATAAGTACACTAATGTGCATTTTATTGCATTGTCCATTTATTTGTATTACCTCTCCCTGAATTTCAAATGTGTGCCAAAATGTTCCATCATTTTAATGTGTGACTAATTGCCTGGATCATTCCTCCCTTTACTTGGATCCCATTCCCACCCAACCTCCATGTGATTTCCTTTGCCATTTCATTCAAAACCGACCAACTTTGGCACATTAAGTTTTTGAGTGTTGTTTCTGTTATGAATATTGCAATTCCCATTAGCAGTTTCGTTCAGTGTCATTGTTCTTACTGAAAATTGCAGCAAAATTCTCATGTAGAGTTGCTCAGCTTAAACAATCCTTAATAACTACCAGGTCATCACCAATGTCCCAGTTCTTCCTTTGTTCTTTTCATTCATTCATACAGCTGTAAAAGCCATAAATATGTTAACTATAACTTTACTTTTAAAAGAGAGGAGGCTGAAAGCAAATTCAGTACATTGAGGGAATAATAAAAACCATGGCAGAGAGTTTCAGTAGTCTCCAGTGCTTGGAACTCTGTCCTGCATTTTCCCAGGACTTTGCTTAAGATTTTGAAGAAAAAGCTGTTATAAGACTAATTAATATTTGTGCCTGCATCATGAAACTCAATATGTGCCATGTTTTCTTTCCTCACATCTGGTTTCTAAGCATCCATAAAGTAAAATTTTAAATGACTTTCAGATTCTACAAAATAAAAAAAGACAAGGGAGGAGTTTTTAATTTCTGCCTAAGTCTGCAGCTCTGGTTCTGACATCACTGGTGTAGCTCCTGTTAGTTCATGCATCAGATTTGTGGCTTCTCCCAGTGACAAAAATACTGTCACAATTTAATTATCTTGTAAACGACAGCAGAGAGATCAGAAGGGCAATTTCTTCAGCTGGTRTAAAACAACAAGCAATGTTGACCTGCCTGACCTCAAAACCTGTAAACTGAGCTACTTTCCTCTGTAGGCCTTTTGATAAAGTTTGAAGCTGTGTTCTGATTCTCCTCTGAAAAACAAAACAAAGCAAAGCAATTTCAGCTCCCTAAACTACTTAGCTACCACTATTTGTTAATTCTTAAGCACTTTTTTTTTTTTTTCCCATTTTTAGGCATAAACACTTTGTCCATCARTGTTCAGGATTTTAGCAGAAATGTTTTAGGCTCCTAGTCATACTAGTAGAGACCATTTTACATTACATTCTTTATTTTATCACAGTTCAAAACAAACCCACATGTGAAGAAAATTATTTTGGTTGTCCTAGTGGAAGATGTATTCTGACCACCTGGCTTTGTGATGGGCAGAAAGACTGTGAGGACGGAGTTGATGAGTTGCACTGTGGTGAGCATTTTATCTTATTTGTATTTTTGTAGTCATTAGTGTGCTTTGGAAACAAAGGAGTGTGCATTTGTATCTCAGAGATTATAGAGAAAGGTCTTGAATGTTGTATTTTCAGATTCAACTCTAATATTTCATGTTGTCAATACCTCAGATTCTGTTTCATGTGAGAATGAAAGCCCTACACTGTTTTATCTCTGAAGAATATTGGGTTTTTTTACAGACTTTTCTATTATTTTAATATTTAATAATTCCACTTTCTCTTCACAACTCCTCATTAGAMGATTTTATAGATATAAATTGAATCACTATCTAGACCCCTACAGGAAATACCCAAACATCAAAGTAGGCATTCCTTTGCATCAGAGGCCGTACAGATATGATTACTTAAAGTAATGACAAAAATGATGTAAGTAAAATATACTATGTGAAGTGGGTTACGAATCTGTTCTCTCTCAAATCTTTTCAGATTCTTAAATTCTACCTAACTGAGGCACACACAAGTTGGTTTTATTCAGTGTGAGAGCTGATCATTTCAGTGTGTATGGATTACCTGAATGGATTACTTTTATAATGACATTGTACCAGTAGAGCAAAAAGTAGGATCAAATGTTCCTATTTATTATTTAAATAAAACCTGAAATTTGGGTTTTATTTTCTGAGTTTTTGTTAGTTTTTTGCTTTACTTCTTAATATGACTGAACCTTACATATTACTCTCTTTATAACCCAGTTCCTATTAACATGCTTCCATATTTGGGTTGCAGTTACATTGCCTATATATTTTTATTTTATTACTTCAAAATTAGGAACTGCTGTGCACTGTGACAATCAAACTTTTCTGTTGGCTGCATTCTGTTAGTGTTTATGTTTCCAGGTTTTATGCACTTGTGTACAATATTGTAATATGTATTAACTGATTTTTGTGGGCAAAAGGAAAGGGGGTTAAGTCAATTCTGTTTTCCCCAGTGATTGCTCTTACCCATTTTGAGATAACTTTTGCAATGCTTTTCTTTAAAGGAGATACCATTACCTAAASTTCTTTTTAATGTTAATATTAAAATTTCTTATAATCAGTTGCACCAAAATAAACTTTATTCTTAAAGAAAGAATTCTGGGAAACATGGAAGATTTGGATTTTKCAGGAAAGAATAGAATTGATTTAGGACAGTTGTGCAATCTGATTTTGAAGTGTGGAMGTTCTTATTTTCAATGTATAGAAAAGATTAACTGGGACAACAGGAAGCAAGCACAGAGCAGTTTTTTTTCTTGTGAGAGGAAATAACAGGAAGTCTTTAAAAGTTGGAGTTAAATGCTGGAATGCCAGTAGGAAGGCTCTGTTGGAAAATTTGGACTGTGCCCTCTCTGCCCTACTACCCAGATAAAGCAGTTCAGTGTAGTTGTAGTATCTGTTAAATATGCAAACCAGACTTCAGTTTTTACAGTGTTTATCCTCATCCCACTAACAAAATACTTGAAAACATTGGAATGCATTTGGAATGTTTCATTATTTTTATAAATGTGTTGGTGAATGCAAGTTCTATGGCAAACTGATAACATGCCAGATAACAAGATTAGAATTTTACTGTATTGGAGGAGAGAAAGGAGCAGGGCAAAAATTCCTGAGCTGTGCTTGGCAATKCAGGGAATGCAGTGATGTTGTGACCCTAACAAATGCAGGGCCTGCTGTYTGTCACCCCCAGATTCGTCCTGCTCCTGGAATCAGTTTGCCTGCTCTGCCAACAAATGCATCTCCAGGCAGTGGACCTGTGACGGGGAGGACGACTGCGGAGATGGTTTGGATGAGAGCGACGCTGTTTGCGGTGGGTTGGGTCATTTTTGTTCTGTATCGTGTCACATTGTGCATAATCAATAATGATCTGAGGAGGTGCTGGGAAGGGAAGAGTTCCTAAATCCTCCCTCAGCCCCTTCCAACCAGCAGACAGATTCTTTTTTATGAGAACCGTCAGATTTGTGTGTATTCTGTCAGTAAATTTACAAATGGCAAACCAGAATGGGTGAAAGGACAGCCAAYCTGTTCTCCAGTTCTTATCCTTGAGGTAAAACCCCTGCTTGAGTTTTCATCTCAGTGCCAGGTGCTCAAAGGATCCTAAAGTTATATTTCTGGGTTTTTTCCTAGCTCTTTCATTCACTCTAAAATTTTGTATCCCACAAGAATATATTGCGTGATATTTGTCTCGATTTCTCAAACCCTTCCAGGTGCATAAAGAATTGAAAATTTTGGTTTCATTCTGGGGCTCAGTGGACTGGAAATGTGTTTGACAAAAATTCACAAAAGAAAATCACATTGTGTCAAGTCATGCTGTCATAATTTAGTGATTTTTCACTCTTAAAAAAATCAGTATTTATTTAACATGAAGATCAATTCAAGAAATATCAAATAATGGTAAATGAGTATAAGTAAGCAAAAGTTGCTCCTTTTGCATAAATAAGACAGAATTTTTTTTTTTTAAAGTACTTTTATATTTTATTAATTTCTGATTAAAACTAGTAGAAAATACACTGTCTCCTTTTTAGTGAAGCATATTAAACTTATTTAAGAGAGCACATTAAGTGATGAATTGCACAAAAATTTACTTCCAAATGGACTAAATGTAAGCCTAGGATAAAATATTATCTAAAGAATAGCCAAAAAAAAAAAAAAAATGTCAGGTAACCAATATGTTGAGTTAGGTGGATCAGAGCTGTCAGGTATTTTTTTACTCCCACTACAGCTGTAACTTGGTACACATTGTTTTCTTCTGTGTGGGACCAACTCACAGAAATTTTGAATGCCTTTGGCTTCCCTGCATAGAGTTTGGTGATGAAGAGAACATGGGGTTTGCAAGATTTGTTCCTTCATTCAGTCAGTCCAAACATGCAGTCAAACTTACTGACCAAAACTGGTTCGAAGAGTTATTCTGCTYATCAATGTGGGAAATTCAGGAGCCTGAATAAATGAAAAGAATGGAAGAAATAGCAGATGGTCAAAATTGTCCTGTGAAATAATCCCGGCCAGGTTTATCATAATATATGGAACAGAATAATCTCTGAGCTTTATTTTAAATAAACCCCGTATCATAAAACCATCACTTAGGGCTCCCAGCTCAGGAGATGGGCTGGCCCAGTGCTGAAGACCCCTTTTCTGTGTTCCTGCAGGCTCAGTGACCTGTGCAGCAGACACCTTCAGCTGCCTGGGCTCTCACGCGTGTGTCCCCCAGCACTGGCTCTGTGACGGCGAGCGCGACTGTCCCAACGGCAGTGACGAGCTGTCCACAGCAGGCTGCGGTACGTTTGATGTCCACAAATTGTATTTTCGTGCTGCTTTTGCCTTTGTAATGTCCAGCTGCTGTTTGTGTCTGTCATAACAAATGATGCCGTAAGAATTTTTGGTTTCTGTTCYTCACGTATCTGTGGCTTTGGGGAGTATTTCCAGTTTTCTTAAGTGCTAAAAAACTGTGTTGCCAGCGTTTTAGACAAAACATTGCTCTCCACTGGAAAATCCAAGGACACTTCATTGCCTCAGAGCCCCAAAATCAGTCTCACACCCTCCTCTTGCAGAGATTTCTGGTGCAGATTGACAGCTCACRTGTGAGCACACGGAGCAGGATCATTCCCAGCTCTGATCAGCCTGACATCTCCAGGCTCTGCTCATGCACTGAGGCAGCAGATGAAGATCAGGATGTGTGTCACGTCACAGATATTGTCCTGGTGTTTTTCTGGGGGAAATTGGCACATTATTGACTATGCAGTTTTATTGCCCTTCCWGAAGAAAAGGCTGCTGCTCATGTCAGGGAGGTTGTGCATCAAGAAGGGAGATGCAAGTTCTGTCTTCAATTTATTCTGGATAATTGTTCAGATCCTGACATCTCTTGCTCTGTAAAGTATTACTCCCAGTCTCCTGAGAATTGTTTCTATTAACAGTGTCAGGAGTTCAGTAATAGTTCCATTGGAGGGGATTGTTTTATTAATGTATCAAAATGGTATAGAAATAAATTCTGTGTATTTTGAGTGTTTATGGACATTAAAGAGCATTTGTTCAGGAGCAGAGTAATGTAAGAAGGACATCTCTACTTGCCAGATGTTCTTTTCTTCAGAGCTATTCCTTAGATTAGTTGTAGACAGCCTCAACTACTGAAGCTTTTCTGTCTTGGATTAAAGGAGATTTTAGCTGTCTTTACTTGTGTGGCTTTCTTTGTGATGAGTAGGTTTTTCTGGTATTGAATTGTGCGATGTTTTTTATCTGACTAAAAATTTATGGTTATTTCCATTGAATTCACTCAGATTCACTTCTCATTTCATCTTTGTGTAAGAAAATTGGCTGTATATCTGATTGTTCTCAATTTCTTTTTTTTTTCTTTTTATGTGCTGTATTTCCCTTAGCTCCTAATAACACTTGTGATGAGAATGCTTTCATGTGCCACAACAAAGTCTGCATTCCCAAACAGTTTGTTTGTGACCACGATGACGACTGTGGAGATGGATCAGATGAATCTCTGGAATGTGGCAAGTATAACAAAAATAGAGTGAACAGAACAATTTCAGACTCTTTACTGTAAGGCATTCCTCGGGCTCTAGTAGTTTAAGGCATTATTGAAAAAGAAAACTCTTCGTTTTTTAAAACAGTTTTGATTTTCACTTTTAAATTATGCATTAATTAATATGGCTTGGAACTAATTTGGATATGGGGCTACAGCAACAGATTATTTCCTGTAATGTCTTACAGTTGATTGCTAATGACATTTAACATAATTTTTTTAAGTACATTCTAGAATTTCTTGTTTATTAAGTATTTCTTTATTATATGTATTTTTGTCTTTGTCTCTCTGTGTGGTTTTTTCAATCATGTTATGAGCATGTTTGTCATGATTATCACTGCAGTTAAATAATATCAACTAAAACAGTATGTGAATGTTTCACTTTCACCATGAATTTAGGGTTTTTATATTATCTGAGTTTCTGTATAGTATATCTGGACCATACTCAGAAACGTTACATAAATAATATTTATGAAAAAACATAGGGCAAATATTCCCTCCAAAAGGACAAATTGGTGATTGTCATGCCTGGTATTGCACTGTTTCAATCTATATTGGTTATTTACTCTTCAATTTGCTTCAGAAATGAGCCACCACCAGAAAATAGCTGGAGAACAGCTGTGTATTTTAGATGTCTTTGTTGTGCATAAATGATGTGACTAGAGACACAAAGCTTGTGAGAAAAAGCGTGTTTATTGATTTATTAATGACAGATAATTACCAGGAAACCAGTGAATTACATATTCAGTATCATTAACAGCAATGCAGTGGGCAAATCACAGCTGCAAAATTTATAGATCTTAGGGGTTTCCAGACACTGTTTTGTAGTTACTCCCAAAACGTTCTGACCAGTCTTCAATACCTKAATAAATGTTTAGAACTGTACAGTCACAAACTTTGGAAATGTGTGTTTGGTGTGGTKATGATGATTTGTGTCCTGCATGTTTTAAAGGGAAGGAACACATCTGTAAACATGCCACAAAAATTTTTTTGGGGCTTTTTTAAGCTATTTCCTAATAACAGGAATAAATGAAATAACACCAAAAAGAGAATATATTTATGACAGAGCTGCACAGGTATATTTCACATACAGATATGTACCATGATTGTGTGGAGCTGCATAAGAGAATTTTGATTTCTCTCTTTTTTGGTGGATACTCATGCATAAGCATACAACACTCTGCATGTCTTTATAGAAGAAAAAATGGGTGGTTTTGTATTACCTCAAATTTTTTGTTGAAATTCTGACACAAAACATGAGGTCCCTGGTTGCTGTATTTGTAGGGTACCGTCGCTGTCGTCCTGGGGAGTTCACCTGTGCTGATGGAAGGTGCCTCTTGAATTCCCAGTGGCAATGTGATGGGGATTTTGACTGCCCAGACCACTCTGATGAGGCACCCATCAACACCAAGTGCAAAAGTTCAGGTTTGTGTGTAATTTTTTGAAGTATGTGTGAGCTTGTGACCTTTCTTTCTGGAGAGTGATGGTTTGGGGTTGTGAGTCAGCAAATGTGAAACCTGAGTTTTATGAAATTCCCAGTGCTTTCTTGGTGATATTGCTCATGTCTTGCAAGGAGAAAGTGTTCTGTGCATCCTAAACCTCAGTTAACAAAGTTTAAGGCACCATTTCCTATGGAATAAAAGAACAGACAGTTCCTTAATACATAAATCCTGCTAAAATAGTAAAATATACTAAAGTACTAAAATAAGCTGATATTAATGTAATAATTTCCAAAGGTTCTAGCTTGCTCCTRGTGTTTTCTGTGTTCAAAATATTCATCACACAGAAGGAGATCATACAAAATGGGATGTAAAGTTGCTTTTGCTATAAATAATAAACACTGGTTTAATTTTATTAGTAAATTATTGACTGAATGCTACTGATTTTAKTGATATTTCATGCTTGCATTAATACGCTGGCTGAGGTCTGCGTGGTTTTTGAGAAGGAAATTACTCTTGCTCTGCATTTGGTGTTGTGTTATGTGGCTTTTTGAAAAACCAGTTCTCCCATCTAGACCTTGGGATTTACTGCACTGTGGCCAAGGCCTTTATACCAATTTTTGATAGAAAAAGATCATCTGCTCTGAGGTGAGGCAGTGTGCCTACCTTATATTGATTTAAATGTTGTAATTGTTATTTGGAGGAGCTGAATGAAGCTGAAATTATGTATTCAAGTTTTGCCAAACAGGGAAAAACATGTGGGCAGGCCATTAGACTAGGAATATGCTGGAATTCAGTCACTCAACACCTCAGCATCCACAGTGGGGAGAAATCAGCATTTTTTTTAACTTTTGGAAACTGTAGAACTGTGTTTTGTGCAGAAATGATGTAAAAGATTCTCCAATATATAAAAGCAAATACATAGGGAGAGTTATGAGTTGATGTCTTCACACATTTTTTCAGGAGAGGAATAAACTTTAAAGATGCTGAAAAATGAAAAGTTATTATAATGTTATCAATAAGGAATAAATATTTGTTACACAATCGTTTCCTCTCACATGCACACAGCAGCTGTTCCATGAGAAAATTAATTCCAAATGCTAGTTGATGACACCAAGTCATGTTTTCTTTTTTGTTTTCCAGAGCAGTCATGTAACAGCTCTTTTTTTATGTGCAAAAATGGCAAGTGCATTCCTCAAAGTGAGGTTTGTGATAACAAAGAAGATTGCAGTGATGGCTCTGATGAGAAAAGCTGCCACATTAACGAGTGCCTCAGCAAGAAAGTCAGTGGCTGCTCWCAGGATTGTCAGGACCTTCCTGTTGGATACAAGGTGAATAACTGCAAAATGTGCTGGAATATAATGCAAGTTTTTAGTTCTTAAGTATGTAACTATTGCATGATTATCGTAAAATTCCAATGTGTGGTTCCTCCTGTAGTAAAGTATCTTAACTGCCATAATAAGAACAGTCAAATTTTTATTTCCTGTAAGCAAACAATTGCAAATTGTATTAAAAATGGTACAATAAATGCTTAAAAACGATAGAAAAGATCATGCAATGCTCTAAATACAACAAATCATATTGGTGTATACAGAGCATTGAAAATGAATTGTGAAAACCAATACACAGGAGTGAACAGCAGCAATAGTGGTTTTCTCCAATTTATTTTTTTCCCCGAGTCAGAGACTCTTACAGAAATATTTAAACAAAATGCTATCACCTCCATAGGAGAATGAAACTGTTTATTGTCTGGATGTGAGGATGTTTTTCGAATCACCTGAATCTGCTCTTTGGCCTTGACCAGTAGAGAGGAACAGACAGCAGCAGCCTGTAAATAGTAGCTAAAAATAGAAAAGACTTTTTTCCGGGATTTTAGCTCTGTAGTAACCCTAACTGCMCTCCTAAAGTTTCATCTTTTCAATTCAAYGTTGGCYCASTGAGAGCTAAATAAAATCTGTCCASCATGGCTTAGGTCTGCAGGTATTCAACCCTCTGGAACTGTGAGAGTTGAGACAGAGACTCAAGAGCTGTTGGRTTCAGCAAAAAAAMCAACATTTCAGTTGAAATGGTGTAGAAAGCACGTCCTGGATCTCTGCAGAGAGAAAGAGAGAATATAGGAGAGGATATATGACACAAATTTTTCTGTGGATAAAATCTATACCCATTTCAAAACCCATCTACCCAGTTGTATTTTGCATCTTTCACRTTGCCTTGATAAACTTGCCATGATTGTCATCAGACCTGAAYAAAAGTCAGGGAAACAGARAATATCCTGAGTTAGAAGGGAYSCACCACCAGGAATTCTCCACCTCCAGCTCCTACTCAGCCTCAAGAATTCTCATTCACATTTCTGTGTTGGTTATACAGATTGCTGGGTGATAGCAATGATTCCAGGAAAAATAATTCAAAACTGTCTATMTTTACCAAAAACCACACGTGTAATTGAAAATTAAGAACTCCAAAGGGTTCACCCATCACTATTTTTGAAATTGTGTGGTTTTTTTTTTCTTTCCTTCAGTTAAGTAGAAAGAATAATTATTCATTCTACATTTGTTCATTTTTGTTGGTTTTTTTTTTTTTTTCTTTTTTGGGAGGGAATGGTGGTTAGGATCACATCAGCAATCTGAAAAGAAATGTACGTGTGCCTCCCTGTAAACCATCCAAGCAGCAATGTAATTAAGTTGTTACTTGAAAAAATGAGATACATAAAAAGTTTATGATGCTAACATATTCAGAAGAAAGTACACACAGATGATAAACAGAATTAAAAATGAATGTATTTGGTTTTCTTTCCCAGTGCAAATGCTGGCCTGGATTCCTCCTGAAGGATGATGGCAAAACATGTGTAGATATTGATGAATGCTCATCTGGATTTCCCTGTAGCCAGCAATGCATCAATACCTACGGAACCTACAAATGCYTGTGTGCAGAAGGGTATGAAACACAGCCTGATAACCCAAATGGCTGCAAATCCCTTTCAGGTATTACTATTTAATGTTTTTATAATCCACAGCTGTATCCAAATCATTTGTGAAAAAAAAGCCTTAGCCCCCGAGGTCTGTGTTACCTTTCTGTGCAAGAGAAAAACAGAGTTTATGTTGAATCTGCTATTTCTTCAATATAAAAGAGGAAAAATGGGATTGTGTCTGCATGTAATAATAATTTCTGGTTTTAGTATGTGTCATCCTCAGCTCATTTGTAGTAAATAGGTGCAGTAGTTTTTGAGAGTTTGAATTAATAACTTTATTTAGCCATAGATCACTCAGAGGAGGAGGGGAGCTGGAGCACATCAGAGCTGCTTTTTGGAGTGTAATGCATCARAATTCCAAAGTGTCCATGGCAAAGCTGTGGTGCTGTGGCAGGGATGGCTCTGCTGCCAGGAGGGGCCAACATTTGGCCTAAATGCTGTTTTTTTGGCATCATTTGCCTTTACAAGAGAGCAGAGCATTGCAGCCACTCTCCACAGACCTCAAGTCTGAGGATGATGCCTCGAGTCATCTTGGAAATGAAAAGCTTCCTAAGAGTTGAACAAAAATGAAAATGTAAGAGCAGACTAGCTGGAGGACACATTACATTCTAGAGTGCATGAGCAGTAGATGCAAAACTTTTAATAAATTTTTAATTATCATTGGTAAGTTTTTTTAATATATTTTGGTTGARGTCACTCTTAGCAGAGCTAAAATAAAGGCAGCTTTGAAAAAAATTGCTATTAAAAATGTCAGTGTCAGAGATATTTCAGTGATTCATGAATGAGTATCTGAAGGTAAATATTTCTTTATAAACTAGAAGATCAAGGTTAAACAAAGTTGAATCTGCTTTCAGTTCAGAATTAGAGAAACAAGGTTTTTAGGTTTTTATGARTATCTGTTTCTTTCTCGCTGTGCTGTTCAGAATAATGAAATCTCAAAAAGCATTGATCAAAACATGCTCAGTTTGCAACCTTAACAATTAAAAGTCTGTTATTTTGAAAGGAAATGTTGAAATTAAACATATGGAATGAAATACATTTCCCATTTAATCTCTGACATTAAATTAGGATAAAAGACAGTATGGTTCCCATATTACAAAGGCAAAAGAATTAAATTGCATTGAAAGATATACTAATTGATTGCTTTGTTCATTTTTATACTGCATCATTGATCTTTCTTGGAGCATTTGAATGTTTTAAATATTTCTTTCATCCATAACATTGATCAGAGCATGTAACATTTATTTTTCAAACCATCTGTATTTCAGCATTGTATTCCTGATTTTCCATAAATTAACGTAAAAGCTAGTCTAATATATTCTTTCTCCCGGGGTTTAGATGAGGAACCTTTCTTAATTCTGGCTGATCATCATGAAATAAGAAAAATTAGCACTGATGGATCCAACTACACTTTGTTGAAACAGGTATAACCGTAGTACCATGCTCTAAGTTTAATTCAATACTTTTATTTTTTCCTAAAGTTTGCAACTGACAGAAACATCGTCCTACAATTGGCATTGTGTGCACTTCAGAACAACTGCAGTACCTTCAGAGTTATTACAATACTTTAAATTGACTATTTTGTCTGGATTTGACATGATTTAAGCTCAGGCAGTTGTTTCGTCAGTCATTCTGATGTACTAAAAAATTATGTTATTTGTGATCCTGTTCCATCACAATATGTTTTGTGCAATTTGTCTATTTCAGTTTGAAAAATGAACAAAAAACCCCACCTATTTGGCCATGTTTCATTTGGTCTACTTACTGTCATAATCTAAATCTATTTTCAGACAGACAATCCCAATATTTACGGTATTACAAAACATGAAGTTTTATCGTTGTATAAATCTAATTTTTTAAGTTATTATTCTATTATAAAAGAGAAAAAAAAGTGAAAAACTGCAAAACCAGAAAGTCACCCAGTTAATACAGAGCTGCCATTTTTAGCAGTGTCTGCTCTCCTTCTGTGCTTCACCTAAGTGTAGTTATTTACCACAGATTAGATTTCCAAAATATGTTTTAATTAAAAATACTGATTTCTTTGATTGCTAATGGATAAATTGTAGAAGGACTAGGAAATTATTTATTGCCCRTCAATATAATTTTTAAACTTCTTGTGTTGCTTGTGGAGACCTGAGCACCTTAATGTCACAAGAGAGGTGCTCAGGTCTCCACAATAATTATGAAATTAAACATCTTGAATTAAACACTGACTTTATTTAAGCTTAGCAAGCATTTTGAAAGTCTGTCTGTTCTCCTGAAATCCTTCTGACTCCCTCTCATTTACATCTCACTGCCCCTCTCCTCTTTTCCTGGTGTACCTGTTCATAGAAGCCTGTGAAAAGAGGGGAGCAACGGAATTTTCTTCATGGTTGGTACTGCCAGATGCTTGGAGCTTCAGCAGTGCTGAATTTGGSTGAATTTATTGGGCTCCTGTTTGGTGTGTTACTGCAGCTCCAGCCATGGAAGGAAAAATGTGTTTTCCACATCCCATTAATTCACTGGTCTGAGAAACACCTCTGCTATTGAACCTACTGGTTTTTGCTCCTACAAAGGCAGAATTTGATTTGAAAGCCAAAGAGGGAGCTTGAGCAGCAGAACAGGGGGGTTCTCTCCCTCCTTTAGTCCTTAAATGATRATGGATTTGGCTCTTTCCTGGACATGTACCAGATGATGGCAAACACCAGAGTGGCTCTGGCAGAGGAGCAAACCCACCCTATTGTCTGTGTATTTGATCTGTGATTGCCATTCTAACAGTTGCTCATATGAACTCAGAAAAAAGGAACTGAAAGTAGGAGCTCTTTCAGTCTTCTCTGAGTTATGTACCAGCTTTTGCCTCTATTTTTGTGTTCTTTTCTTTTTTTTTCCCAAATACACATAAACAGCACAACTGTTTGAATTGTGTCTCATGTATCTTCTTTGCTTTCCATTTCCTTCACTCCGAGTCATCAAAACCCTTAGGGTTTCAATAGGCAGAGTAGAAAATCTTCCTCCTCATTATTTGTGATTTTATCTCAGCTATTTTTTTTTCTTTTTTTTAAGTGGGGCACTAAGGGAACAGAAATCACAGCCAAGGATATCTTGTGTGCTGTGTGTAACAGAAACAAACCCACAGGTTTAAGATGAGAGACTGAGGCAGCTGATGCCATTTGAAAACTTCTCTGTGTCTCCTAAAAAGCAGATTATGTATGAAATKACAAAGAATTACACTGTGAGGGCTTAATAGATATATATATATATGTGTATATGAAAAAAAGAGGAAATTATATCCGGACAGAAAACTCCATTACAGTTGTACAGAAATATTTTACCTGCAGTTGATGTTCCAATAAATATTAAAATGAAACTGACCCAAAATAGCCCTTGAAACCAAAGATTTAAGGCAGTCAATCCTTTCATTGGTCTCCATCCTTAGGAAACTTTTTAAGTGTTATGGAATTTTTAATTTTTTTTCTTTTTTTTTTTTTTTACAAATTGCTGTCTTTGATCTTTAGAATGTTATAAAATTGTATTAAATCGTACTTTGGCTTAATTCAACTGTTGTCTCCTTGGTTAAGAATTTGGGGTGGGGGTTTCTGTGTAGATGTAATTGTACTAATAGGAAAAAAAGAGACAGGAAAAGTGTTTTGCAGCCCAGTTGTGACTGCCACAGCTGCAGCTGGCTTTGTGAAACTGCGTGCATGTATTTGATAGTTTTGAAAAATGAAAGTGGTCCTCCTACACCGAACTGTTTTAGGCTTTCTTTAACGATGATTTGTGCAGCCTAGCTACTCTTTGCCTCTTCATTTTGATCAAAGATAGATTTACAGTAATTACACGGCAGTAGATGGCGGATAATCCGTGTATCAGTTTCTGTACAATTAAATATTGTTAGTTTTAGTTGTTTATTGCAGAGCTGGCGGGYCCAACACACCCCTTCTCAGCAGTGAATTACACTAACGAGGGAGGCTGCTGATCTACCTGAGAGCAGTGTCACGGGGCTGATAAGGGATTTGATAACTGACTTTGCGTTTGTAGGAGGAGCACAAACCACATYGCTCCCTTCTACCACTGCTGCTCCTATTTCATTGATAACCACAGCCCTGCATATCAAGAATAATTGTGATTTCACTGCATATCAGAGCACTCAGCAGGTTATGGGGCAGATAAGGAAATAAAAGCATCATCTGAACTCAATCCCSTCCTTTCTTATCTGCCATTTGGGATGAAAAGCCATTATTGTTTGAAAATCAATCATGAAAAGCCATGATTGCTCCTCCCAGCCTGTTGGAGCAGCTCAGATACAATCACCACTCTTTCTTAAAATGTATTGGCTTTGTAATTGGAGCCATAGGAGACCCTCAGATGCCTGCTGGATTTCCAGATTTCACATTTTTTTGCATCTACTTCCACTTTGTGTATTCACACACACATATAGAAATATATATACACAGTACCTATAATATAGCATCTAAGAATTCAAAACCTCCTCATTCAGGAATTAAGATTAATGTCTTTTTGCACAGCATCATTTTGAATTCCTGATTAATTTATATTACTAAGGGTTTTTTTTTTTTATTATTTAAATATCATAAATATTATGCTGTTTCTGGTTCTCCCACCTAGTATGCCAAAGGTAGTAATTGACAGTGAAACTGAGCAAAACCTAAAGTTATTTACTGCCAAATTATATTCAAATAAGGGTACAAAAAACCACAGCAGTGTTTCACTTAGTTTCATACATCATCTGCATTTTTGAAGTGAAACAGTTGATTTGTCACCATATTTATTTCTGTTACAATCTTATTCTGTTTGTAATGTAGGGAAAAGAGAGGGAAGTGCTTCAGAAATATACAGAGAGTAAAATAAAGCATTATGAATATTAAATGTCTTTTGCATTCTGAATGCTGTCCAGCAGTTTCTGTTCAAACATTTGAATAAATGGACTTTTTTCTTTTTTCCTTTCTGTTTTAGGGGCTGAACAATGTGATTGCAGTGGACTTTGACTACAGAGAAGAGTTCATTTATTGGATTGATTCCAGCAGACCAAACGGCAGTCGCATAAACAGAATGTCTTTGAATGGAAGTGACATCAAGGTAATTGGGGATTAATAATGYCACTATTAGAATTAAATTTTTTTGAGTGTTTTGGGAAATGCTCCTTCATACGTTTAAYCCAGATTGTGAGGCTTTGGTGTATGAATACAAACACAGCATGAGCTAGCAAGTCCTGGTAAAATTTAATTGCATTTATATCTTATTTGAAGTAAAGATAGGGACTAGGAGAGCTGTATTTAGGAGTTAAATTCCTTATGACTTATTTGACAGTTTACTGAATTGGCAGTTCCATGTGGTTTACAGGGCCAAAGAAAAAAAAAGAGCTATAATTAGATGTAAGATGTATAAATAGCCTGGTGTATTGTTTCTTTCTTTAAAATTTCCTGTGATCTTCAGTTTGGTTTTGTGTCACCTCCACTACATTTAGAATTAAAATAACTCTGTGAAGGGTAAAAGTGCACTCCCATTTCTGCACAGCCTGTCTGTTCTGCCTCCTGAGTGGATTAAGTTCACAAATCCACTCTTAAGCATGTTTGTTGACTTATGTGAACATTTTTTTCCAGAACTGGTGATAAGCAGTAAGGAATTTTTGTTTATTCTATTGTGTCTGACCTTCTGAAACACAGAGTTAAATGAGCAGTAACATATCCTGTGAATTTTRTTCCCTCATTGGGCACCAATAAATATGCAGAGAGAAAAGATTTGTTTTTCATTCACAGCTTCATGCATGGGCTGACACATCCTCAGCACATCAGCTTTGGTCTTTATAAATTGGGGTTTGAAACTCAATGGCTTTAGTTTGAATCCTTCATACTAAAATAATTGTTCTTAAAACATAAAGGTAAAAAAAAATACAAACAAAACAAAAAACAAGTGGATAAGCAACTTGTGGCACTCTGATTCCATTGGAGTTAAAACTAAAACCCAGGATGCACTGAAAAGTTTTACTGAGTCCCTGTGAAGGGGAAAAAAAAAGAGAAGACAGGCAAGTGTGGGGTTTAAAATCCATTAAATCCTTGAATCATATTTATTGCCTTCAAACAGCTTCCAAAGCATCCTCCTCATCTTCTGTCCCTTCTGGATGAATCAGTGCTTTATAARGGCTGGGGATTACTCAGATTCTTTATTTCTAATCTGAAGAATTTCAAGCAGAACAAAGAACTTTTCCCAATCAAAAAATGTATAATAACCAGGTACAAGAATGCAAAAAACTCCTATTGCAATGACTCCTAGTGACTCATTAGTAATTTCGTTTTTTAAGAAAAGGTTTCAGAAATTGAACAAAAATTAAAGAAAATTAGGATAAGGGCAYGGAGGATATTTTGTTTTTTCTGTCATTAATAATGTGCACAAGTGTCATGTTAAAGAAATTTTTGCTCAAATAGGATGCCATATTCAAAACAAATTATGGAAATAAGTCCCATTAATCTTCATGCAAAAACCTGCTTTTTCTCTGAAAGTTTAGCCCAGATTTGCCCTCTGAAAGCTAAAAACAGGTGAAAAAAAATTAGCAAGAATTATATATTCTAGCTGTCTAATAGTCTGTCAGTAACCTTTTATCCAGTGCCAAATTTTTATGTCTCTTTGACTTTTTATTATTTTGCCACAGGACCTCATAAATAACTGGCATTATTCAAAACAAAATTATTTCAAATGAAGTTATTATAATTATTTATTTCATTATTTAAACACTGATGTTGTTCTTTGTTATCCTGTTTGCATGTTTTAATGTTTTTGGTTTTTGTTTTTTTTTGTCATGAGAGAGAGTTTTATTTTTTTTTCCCCTGAAGTATGAATCTCTCATTTTAATATCTTCGCACTCATGTGACTCTTTGCCATAAATAGATCCACTATCAGTGTAAGTGATGCTGTTTGATGCATTACCTCAGATTCCTCTTGTAGGAGGAGATGGCATTTCCTCAGCACACCAGTTCTGGCTTTCTTGCCCTGGGAAGTTTGGTGGGATCTTTTTATTTTTATTTTTCTTCTGCATCTGCTCGTGGAGGAGATATTTATGGAATTGAAATGATGACTTTTTCGCATCAATGTGTTCAGATATCACCATGGTGTTTTGTGTGGAGTTTAGACTCAAATGTTTGCAGAAAATGCTGTAGAAAGCTGTGCTGGAGCACATTCAGTGCCACACTGGTGATCTCAGTGACTGGAATGTGTTGGAGTGACTCTCCAAAGGAAAAGGCATCAGAAAAAAACACTAATTATGCTGTAGTGTGGTATTTAGATGGCTGAATTTCTAAATTTTCAGAGTAATCCATTTCTACATGAAATCTCCCTTGTTACAATGCAGCAGTTGCTGAATTACACATTTATAAACTGGTGGAGCTGGTAGAGTGAAGGTGTTAGAAAATAAAATATCTTATTCCCATTAAAATATCAGTGTATGCCTGAATTCAACTTTTAAAAAAAGATTTTATAAGGTGATAAATTACATAAGAACCTGAGAAGGTGCTTTTACATATTCATAACTATAAAATTGATTTAAGGTATCTCACCRTATCCCTTCTTATCTTGAAGGCTTTTCTGTATCTTCAGATGGTAAATAAATTTAAAATGAGCACATTCAGTTATACATAATACAGGTTTACAGGTGAAGTTTATACTCTATTGCACATGCTGTTAGTGATGGAGATGACAATAAATTGGACTGTACACCGCAGTAATAAACCCATTATTAGTGCTTAAGAAACCTCATAAATTTTCAAGTATTGCAGGGTTTTTCTGCAGTTCTAGTTGCGCAGATCTAATCAGGAATAGAATTAGTCAGGAATAGAGTGAGTCAAGATAGACCTTCTCAGGAATGGCATTTTCAAGCCTAGAAGRAACTGGATTCAAATGATTGTGAATATTCAAATATTACTGAACACTTGACATGAAGTGCTCCCAGACAAGCAAGGCTGAGTCATTGAAATCATTATGAGATTTGTGATCRTGGTGTCTAGAGGAATTTGTTCAAGTTCCAGAATTTTCCAAGTCATCAAAACCTCWGCAATGACACATCCCTGTCAGTGGTCTGTAGGCTTTCCAGGAGGTGACTAAATTATTTTGTCTCTTAAAAATTTAGTCCTTTTGAAATTTARCTAATTCTTGGGGAGTTYCTCTTTATTCTGCCGCATGAATGTYRGAAATAAGAGCTCARAATTTACTTTCCAAYGAGGAATGCTCRTCTSTGACTCKCTGAGTGCTCTTCCAGGCTCTCTGTCACGGTGACATATGGCACTAGTGTGACATTAAAATGAAGGATATGCTGATGGAGCCTGGTAGAGAAATGGGGAGCTGAGACGCAGATGTGTTCAAGGGCACRCCGTGGGGAGAGAAGCCTCATCTCCACTCTGCTCTGTGGAAAAAAAAATAGAATACTAAAGGGGAAAAAGCTTGGTTTGGATTGATTAGTTTTCTTCTTTTTACATTAAGAGAAATACTAGAAATTTAAGATGAAAAATGAAAGATCCGAAGTTTTTAAAAGTTTGTGCATCGTGCAGAGAAGATGGCGTTTTGCTGTTCCAATATCATGGTACTCTCCATTCTCCCTTTCTAGGGGAAAAGTGTCACATTGTCAGAGCTCCTGAAGAAGTGTCATTACCTGAGAAGCCTCAGTGTTTAGCAGTGAATAATCCCCGTTTTTCACATGTTGTGTGTCGCTGGATCAAATATCAGTCTCTCAATATTCTGTTATCAGTAACTCTTGAATTGTTGTTCCTTTCCCCAGTGTTTGGATGAATAATTTATATAATTTTTGCTTKTCCAGGTAATCCACAATACAGCTGTTCCCAATGCCCTGGCTGTTGACTGGATTGGGAAGAATCTCTATTGGTCTGATACTGAAAAGAGAATTATTGAGGTGTCAAAACTCAATGGTTTGTACCCAACGGTCCTTGTGAGCAAGAGAGTGAAGTTCCCCAGAGATCTGGCCTTAGATCCTCAAGCTGGGTATGAAGCAGCCAATTTTCAATAATTCCTATTTAATCCTAATTTGATATTAAAATATTTTTACTGAGAGTTTAATCATTGAATACTAAAATGGTTTGGGTGAGAAGGGACTTCAAAGCTCATCSAGTTTCATGTCCCATGGTCTGGGACATCTCCCACTATCCCAGRTTGTTCAGAGCCCTGTCCAGCCTGACCTTGGACACTTCCAGGGATGGAACAGCCACATCCTCTCTGTCAGTTATCTATGGATCTACTCCATCTGCTGTGTTTTTTSTTTTACAGATATTTGTACTGGATTGATTGCTGTGAGTACCCTCACATYGGCCGTGTTGGGATGGATGGATCCAGGCAAACTGTTGTCATAGAAACACAGATATCCAGGCCCATGGCTCTGACCATAGACTACGTCAACCACAGACTGTACTGGGCTGATGAAAATCATATTGAGTTTTCTGACATGAATGGGTCTCACAGACACAAAGGTTGGTCAACATTTTTTATTTTTTTTTAATCTTTGATAATTTTTAAATCGCAGGTGCTTTAGGTGTTACGTATAATTATGTAAAAAACATAGTTTCAAACATTTTTGCGACATTTCTTGAGGTGTTTTCCTTTTATCACTGTTATAAAAGCTGCTTTTCATTTTTCTAGATTGTTATGGATATAAATAGTTTTGAAACATGCAGTAGTACATGTTTGTGGAAAAAAATGTCAAGTGGAAAAAAGAAACTCTAGAAACAAACTCAGTGAAATGAGGGAGCCCTGTCAATTTTGGACGGTGGCATATATAGACATGTTCTTTATTTTAAAGTCACAAAGTGAGTGAAACTTGGTGTTGAAAGGAGAAGGGATATATCCTGAGTGCCATGTGTCAGAACACGGCTAAAAGCAGCCTTTTCTCCTACCTCAGAAAGCCTGGAAATGCCCATTAATCTGCTCAGCATGAGACCAACATTGCAAATGTAATTTGGGGCTTTCTTGGTAGATGGGTGAAATAATAAYTTCTGAAATACTTATGTAATGAACTAATCTTTATCCCTGTGTTTTGCTTCTCACCTGACAGGTAATTAAAAGGCTTGTGTCATTTATCTAGAAAGTATTAAAGAAAAAAAAAAAGTTCTACACTGTGATGAATAGTTCTCATATTCCAAATCGTATAATTAAAGATCTTTCACTTTAATTCAAATATATGAAATAGTATCAGTCTACTGGGTTTTTGTTGGGATTTTATTTGAGATGAAATTGTTACCTGAGCTCCTTCCACGAGCTTTATCCAAGCCTTAGAACTGCTGCTATGATGGCAAAACTTCACAGATTTTGGTTTGTTTTTTTTTATTTTTATCTCATATTGGGTGCCTCAAGGTTTTCTCCAACGCACAGTTCATGAAACAACTACTTTATTTTCAGATCGAAGCTTCACCGTGAAATAAAWTAAAAAAAAAATTAAAAAAAAAAAAGAAAAATAAAAGCAAAACAAGTTTTTTAGGCCTTATATTCATGAATTGTAAGTTACAAACACATCATGAATAATTCAATGGCAGTTGTTTGAGATTGTAGGTTGGAGACACCATAGCAGTAGCTATGAGAGCTGTAAACATTCCCATTAATCCCAGCCCTAATGTCCCTGGTTTTTTGGGACAAACATCGGTCAGTTGTAACCTGCTCACCTAAGCAGCACATTCCTGCTGACAATCTGCTCTTGTGACACTTGAAGCAAAGCTCCCCACTCTTCCTGATGGCATTCCTTGGTCTGCTGTCCTGCTATTCCCATTCTCACAAAATTATCTTCTTACTCTTCTTTCTGGATCATTCAAAGGAAACGTAAATAATAGCCAGTGTTTCTCTCTTAGCCCTAAACTGATTGCAGTGGTCAAACTTTCCACAGTTTTCTCTTTCAGAATTTTTCTTTCCCAGACAATGTCCTCCTGTCTCTAAACTCAGGAGATTGCTGCAAAATTCCAGTCATACCATCTTCGGTATGATTTGGTCTCCAATCTGTGGGGTCTTCCTGCACAAATGGATGAAATCAGCTTTAACTACTTTATATTCACTGAGTTAATGTCTTCCCCTAAGGATRCATGATCCTGGAGAAGGAGGAGATTTGTCACAATGCCACAGCARATTTATCCAAATTTGGTGCCAGTGAAGAGTTTGAGGCAAGCTCCAAAAGCAGTAGTGACTTTGTGTAAGCTGGTGCTGCGCTGCCTTTGAGGACATGTTCTTTGAAGTCCAGATGGTGTATAAATATTCAAACCATAGAAAACGAGCTTTGGGAGAAAGATCCTGAGGTATTTAAATGATGTGGAAGCATGATTTTCTCCTTAGCTAATCATCATAGAGGACAAGGTTGGAAAAAACCTCCTATATCCCCTAGTCCAACCTTTCCTGGCAAAAGCCTGGTCTAGGTGACCCAGAGCCCTGGCCAGCTGCATCTCAGAAGTGTCCAATTCACCATTTCCCTGGGGATATCATTCCAGTGGCTGATTCTTCTCATTATGAGAAGTTTTCCTCTTGTCTCCAGTTGGAATCTTACCAGGAGTAACTCATTTCCATCAGCCTTTTYKWTGTAAAAGGGGARTYTCCTCTTCTCTGCAGCCCCYCTTTAAAAGCTGGAACRTGKTGGTSAGGTCTCCCCTCAGYCTTCTTTTCTCAGGAGTGAAAAAACYSAGTTCTSTCAGCYTTTCCTCACGTGGCAGCTKCYCTGGATCATCTTTGTGGCCTTTCTCTGGACCCTCTCCAGCCTGCCCACACCTAATGCCATTTGTCACTTTTTGTTATCGGGAATTTCACTCCAAACATCATTACCAAATCAAAATGAAGTGTTAGAAAAGTTTCTGTGGATTTAACAAATAATTGGTAGAATTCTTGGAGTCTGAAACAGATGAAACAAACCCATGGGTGCTCCAAGGGGAGCTTTGAGAGTTTTGCAAAGTCCACATATAATGATCCATTTCCCTTTAATCAGTCTTTTTCCTGCCTCCCCACTTTCTCCTGGAACAACCAACCAAATAAAATTTTAGTTTCTTCACAGTTCAGCATGATAYTAGAAATATTTTGGAAGATGAAATTTAGTCATTGTAAAATAATTATTTTAATAGGGGAAACTCAGGGAAGTTCAGTGTTTGGAGCTGTGATCCCCTCTGGCTTTCTGRTATCTGTAATTCCTGTTGATAAGCACTTAAATGAGAAAGATTAGGTTTTATATCTTACGATAATTGTGTTTCTTGAAGGCATTTTTTTTTTTCACATGGATTTCATGGTCTGTTTTCCWTTGYCATTTTGGACATTTTGTATTGTCARAGTTAACTAAGGGAKGGGTGAGTTTGCTGTTATCCTTYGTGTTTKCMAATGGAGAAGGGAAAAGGCACAGGTGTTGTGACCACAAAGTGCATATTCATGGATGGGAATGTTGTTAGTGATGCAATCTGAAGTGTTAGTAATGGCAAACTGAGCATTTTCTCACCGGTTTCTGTGACCTCTGAGGATAAGGCTTGCTTGAAGTGAGGCTTTTTGTGAAAATAATGGTTTTCAGATCTCAAATTATCTGTTAAAAATGTGTCACAAAATGCCAAAGAGATTTCACAATACCCAGCAAATAACTAACTTGTCAGAATGAGTGGATTTCATGTCATTAAGGGATATTATGGTTTGAGACAGTACAGTGTTCTGTGCKCCACATCAGATAATCAGATAAATTTAGGATAAACAGAACAATCTTAGGTTAATTATTGACACRCTGTCTGTTAAACCAAGGAGTGTTTATTACATGCAGTGGGAGCTTACATATATTTAGATCTCAGCGTTAACACTTCTTTTCAGCAAGTCTGGGTTTTTTTTGTTTGTTTGTTACTTACGAACCTTAAAGCTTTTACAGGAGAAGAGAACATCTGGTACTTTCCTCTTGTAAAGTTCCTCTGCATTTCAATAGAGAAATGGGCTTTTATAAGTGCCAGGAGAGTCCTAGTAAGAATTTTGAAAACATGCTAACTAGGCCAGAAATCTTRGAGTACTTGGGAGCTCTTCTTGGCACTGGGGCAGGGATGACCTTGCTTAGCTGTTTGAAGTTTAATGCTTGGTTATGTAAACTGYCTTTAGAGCTCAGCCAATTTAACACTGCAGCATTCACAAATGTTACACACTGTGAATGATTAGGCAAGTATTGAAGCACTAATCTGGCTAAGCACTAAGCTGGTTTACTTATATGAGCTTTAAAAAAAGAAAATTAAAAGAAAAAAAATTAAGAATTTGTCAGGTTTAGCTGCTTTTGGTTCCCACTTCCCAGAGGAGATGCAAGCTTCAGAATTCCCTGGGTACCTGGTAGCTTCACGCAGGTTTTCCTGTCCTGCAGAGCTCTTAAACCCAGAGGTGCCTGCAGTCCCCCATTTCACTTTGAAGATGAGCATTTCTGTATAATGCAACTATAAAAGRTGATAGTCCAGTTTAGGAAGCACAGAAACTTCTCTGAGATAAATACTCAAACTGTGTCAAGTCGATACTTTATACTCTAAAAACAAAAGTTGAGCACTTCATTGCTTCATCTGACAGGGGCATGTAAATTAACCARTGAAAAAGTCTTGATGTTTAAATAAATTAATTATTTATAAATTACTTCTTTAGCTGTAATATAATTAATAAAGAATAAATTTCCTATACTATCTCAGTTTGAAAAAACACCCTGTTCTTGAGACTTAGCTTCAGCCTGGTTGTTTGCAAGTCTCAGAATTGGTGTTTATATGCAAGTTTGGAAGTAAAAAGTACAAGRGGTTTGGAAAATATAATCTTTTTTTTTTTAACTTTTTAACTCCTGTAGTTTCAAAAGTTGTTCATTGTAAGGAGTTTGTAGATAGAAAGGAAATATTTGTGTCTAATTCTGAACTCTTATAAAACCAGAGTTTTATAGGAGAGTATATCCAGTCATTTATGAAATTGTCCTAAGGTAGAAGTGTTTAGCAGATTATAGAGAACAATTTCTTCCTGGTTTATACTGGAAGTTTTCATAGTCCAAAAATCAGAGAAATCTGAAAAGAGGATTTGTTTCTCACAGCAGATGAGAAGTAGTTTGGACATGGCAGTAGATTTTTTTCCCAACTTTTGAGCAGTCTGTAGAATTACTCATTGTGGCCACATCTGATAACACAAACTGATAATTGCTTCATCTCCATTATTGCCTTCTGGATTTCATAATTGTTCTGATAAAATTCTCCAACCCATGTGTCTTCCTGAATCTGATTATTCTATTTTATTGTGTTCCTTCTTTTTAAAAGGATAATATTTAGGAAAAATGACTCAGATTCACCTACATTAAAGGCAATTCTCMCAGTTACATTGCTTTAGGGTTCCATAGTCTCCAGTTTATGGAGCCCCATTTATGAAGATTGCCACCAGGTTGGTTTCTGTATATTCAACTGGCTTTTGATAATATGCCCAAATTCAATTGCATCATAAACTTCTGAAAATAGTTTTTTCTACATGCTCATTAAAAACTTAGCAAACATTCACTTTAAATTTCCACATGAGCTGGACATGTGTCTTCACAAATTTTAAGGGATGGGCATTTCTTTCTCTGCGGTTTTTCCCATCAGGGAGCAATCACAACAGAGAACATAAAGCAAAGATTTTSTGTTTTCTCCCTGTTTGAATCAACACAATGGAAAATGGGAGGATTTTGATGAAGGAAGTCACAGTGTTGAGCAGCTCCCATGGTTGCAGTAGAAGATAAATGAGATAAACCAAAGGGGCTCAGTTGTTTATGTCCTCAAACCTACATGGCAGGAGAGGGAAAGATAAAGGAAGGAATTGCTTAGGGGTCAGTGGGAGTGAGTATTGAAACCAGCAGCAAGGTTGGGGTTGGTCAGCAGGCAGAGAGAAATGTGAAAAATAATTTAAAAACCCTTTGAAACTCACTATCACACTGTAAGTTGTTATACTCAAATAGTGTCTTGTACATATTTGAGAATAATTTAATTACTTCTCTGTACTGCCGTGGAGTAACTGGSACATAAACAACGGCTCACAGTGAATTAAAAAAAAAGTAATAAAACATTTTAAAGTGGGACAATAAAATATTTCATTCCTAGTTTTGATCAACTGATTTTATAGGCAGATTTTGGAAAATTTATGCATCTCTTCTCATGGTGTCGTTATATCTAATAGTCAGTTTTAATATCTCAAATATATTAGTGCCTTAAGATGTTCAGATTAAAGTCTAAATTTCCTGCTTCTTTAGTGACAGCAGTTTGGGGATATGTAACAAGTTTTGTATGAGTTTATTGTACTGAAATATTCTCAGTTTTCACTGATTCAGTTACGTTTTTATACTGGCAAAATATCCCACCATTTCCAATATCCCAACAAAGCTTCCATACTTTACCCAATATGGATGTGTGATGTATATATTAATAAAAGAAGTATTTATGCATGTACATGTTGTTATTGAAGGAATGAGGAATAGTATCCTAAAACTGTATTTTTTTTATTTTTTTTTTAATGTGTAACATAGCTTCAGTTACTGGACTTAATCTATACAGCCCATTAACATATTTTTTTTCTGTTCATTGAGTTTGACAGGTTTAGGTTTTTAAACAAAGTGTCAATTTCATAAAAGTAATAATGATTATAAAATCTCTCATCTTTAAAATATAGTATTTTAATGAAATAAGCTTAAATTTAATTATATCTKTCAAAACTACACACTTTGTCAGAAGCTTAATAGAGATAATCTTATTGTCATTATTCATTATTAATTTTATGGACTAAGCACTKCAGATTCTTTATCAAAGGGAAGAAGCATCAGGAGTAAGTATAGGACATAAAAAAGTATTGACTGTGTCTCAGAGAGGCTTCAGGTTGAATGTAAAATGAGACAGAAACAGCTCCAAGGGAGTTCACATGGAAAGAGGACAGTAATTGGTGCTGAAGAGAAGATCAGCAATTTCCAAGTTTATTTCGTTTTCTTAGGTTTAATTGCGATTTTCTTATTAAGTGTTGTTCTTCCTTGATGCAGTTTGTCTTTGGGTGGTTTTTAATCCTTCCTAGGGGATTACCACTGGTTCCATTCAGATCAAGATGTTAGCAGGTTTTTTATTTCTGTGCTATTGCAGCTGAGAAAACCAAGTTTCAGAGAGTGGAATCGAAACAGTTTCACCTGGTTTTTCAGGTTTGATCACCAATGTAAATTCTGTGTGTTTGGGTGCCAGAATTCTTAAACAGAAACTGCTCTAAATGCCACAGGGAAGTAGAAGAAAATTTAAATTGTTACTTAACAACAATTAATTACCTTTAGCAATTGCTTCCCAGCCCTGGCTCTCTAGCTGGGTGAATACATTTTTGGGAAGAGCMTGGCAGGAATCTTTCACCCCTTCTGTTCTCGTAGGATTTGCACAAGGATGCAATGAGGTTGTTTTTGGAAAGGGAAGGGACACAACTCATTCAATCTTGGAAGTGATCAACCATCTTCTGGACATGATAGGACACGGATAATTTTGTTTGATTTNATTTTTTTTTTTTTTTTTTCTGTTAGGAGTCACCATTTGTCCTTTCTAAGGACACTTTTTCTAAGTACATTGACTTTACTCCCTGACACTGAGACATGTTTAATTATTATTTGTGTTACAGTATTTGCTTTCCCTTCTGGAAATATTGTGTTGCAATTAGAGCCACAGGAGGCTGGACATCACTCCTTCTGTAGTTTCTCCACAAGCATGGTTTGTAGCTAAGAAATCCTTGATGCAATGATCTTCATTCCTGAAATCAAACATTTTTTTATGCTTAAGTAAATCTGCTCTGAAAATAAAAGGGAAGCAGAGTTCACAAAAGAGAAAAGCAAACATTTGTATCACAAATATGACTTGCAGCCTATGAATTTATATTCTTGAATCAAAATTCATACAAAATGCAGGAGAGAGAGAGATAAATTTTAAGTCTGTCATGTTTCTCATGTGTCTACATAATCATGTTCCCTCCTGTGGCTCTTCTCTTAAGTTCATGCAGCACTCTATCTCCCTTTATGATGTTATATATTGTCATTTTTATTTGTCTTCAAGTATCTAATAACTTTTATTTCCCACCACTTCTGATCTGTTGCAAGCCTCCTCTTTTTCCCCTTTTATTACCTGCCTRTGTTTCTTCCTCCTATTTTCTGCAGCTTTCTGAAATGCCTGTGCATTCCTTCTCATTTCCACTTCCTCTTTCTCACCCCTTTTCTCATCCACTTGTTGTTTGGTCGATCATTCAGTGTAAGAGGATCCATAATTTATGGATAAAATGAAACAGCCCTAGAAAATTAGAGGTAGCACTAAAAGGCCCATTAGAAAAGGAGGAATTGCACACAACTTGGAGGAGGAGGCTGTGGTAGGGGAAGGAATCACAAAAGTATTTTTTTTTTCCCTAACAGAATATGTTGCTTTGTTACTAATGGGTTGCCAAGTCGACATCTTGATTAAATGTTTTCAAATCGGTGATGCAGAGGAAACAGAGGTGTTCAGTTATGAATAACCTGAATTTACCTTGAATTTGAACAAAAGGGTTCTGGTTTTGCAGGGTTTGCTGAAGAAAGGGGAGCAGCGAGTCTTACTTTCCTGTTTCAAATTGTGATTTACACCACAAGGTTTTCTGTTGAGTTATTAATTAATTTTGCAATGTTTTACTGCTGTATGGCATTTCTGAGGAGATAGATCAGCTAAAGCTGTTTAGAAGTTCAAGGAAAGACTGAAGGAAGAATGTGGCTGTTTCTTCTGTTCCATACATTTAAGAAAAATCAAWATTCACTGCCTGAAATTTTGTGAAGCCTGAAACACTGATGTCCTCAAAGGCAAAGAATAAAGAGCATTTTACTGTTCCACCAGAAAATCAGATGTTAAAATCACCTCAGTTTTATTTTTGTCTGGTCATTGAAAGTTGTAAACTGTAGATTYTATAACCTATTACAATAGTTCTGATGTTTTCTTGCTTAGAACATAGTAAAAGAAAACATACCAAAGAACATACCAAAGAAAAATTGTATTCAGCTATGACAGAAGTATTCCATAAACAGTAAAGTCAGAACTGTTTGCCATTGAATGTCTGTTTTTTTAGAAACTTTTCTCAGGCTTTACAGCTGTATGTTCTACAAGAAAATACATTGGGGTTTATGGTCAGCTTAGAAGAAATTGTATATTTTTTTAATGTAATTATTAGTAATTCTAATTTTATAAGTGTTTTATATTTTTATCATCAGCATAGAAAACAAGGTAAAGGTATTAAGGATTTGCTGGTTAGAAGTCACAGTCAGCTGCCCTGTGCTGCCTTTTCAGCTCTCTCAGTAATTAGCAATTCGGCCACAAAAGATTATCGTTTACGAATTAATTAATGTGGTCAGATATTCTCCTGTGACATTTATGATTTTTTTGTGTATGACAATTATTTTAAAAGAAAAAAAAAAAAAAAAAGAGTGGAGTTCAGTTATGTTTACTAAGAACAAATACTTCAAGATTAAGGAGTAGACAGCAGGATTAATGTTCCAAAGCTTTTTTTCTCCCTTTTGTTCTTCATTCTTTTTAAAACGATGTTGGCTCATAATTTTGTGGTAGTGTAACAACGGACTATTATAGTTTATATTTTTTATATTGTTTGGTTGTTGATGTTAGGAATAAGCAATAAGCCCTCTTACTGCACTGTTGATTTTAATGCCTTTTTTTTTTTTCCCTGTCTCTCTTCTCAGTGTATTTTCATGAAATAAAATACTATTAATTGTATGAAAGGGTATTAAACACCGAACATCAGAAGTTTATGTTATGTTTTAGATGTTTTCTAATTCTAATAACTTTTATTCCACTAAAGCAAATTTATGTTGCTTACAGAAAGAGAGGGGAAAGTTATGTTTGTTGCATACTGCTTTAAAGTTTAACATATTTTCAGTTTAAAATCTGTTTTTTTTAACTGAAATTCTTTCTTCTTTTTAACACTTATTGGGTCAATGAATCAGGGCTCATGCTTCATCCCCCTTTATTGTAAGTGGTGGTGAAGAACTCTCTGCTCCTGGTGTATTGTCACGATAATTATTTATTCTCGGGACATTCCAGAGCAGTTGTATCTGTCAGCCCRTGCAGCAGGGAATGTTTCATCTGGCAGTTTTCCAAGAGTGAACATTAACCTGAGCATCTCTCCTTCCAGTCCCTAATCAAGACATCCCAGGGGTGATTGCTCTGACATTGTTTGAAGATTACATCTACTGGACAGACGGGAAAACCAAATCCCTCAGCCGTGCCCACAAAACCTCTGGCTCAGACAGGCTCTCGCTGATTAACTCGTGGCACACCATCACTGACATCCAGGTGTACCATTCCTACAGGCAGCCTGATGGTAATTATCCTGTCTATGCTTTCCAGGCAGCACTCTGATGTGTTTAACTCAGTAGCCAGGTGCTGAGGTACTGCACGCTCATTTATCTGCAATGATTATTTCTGTTTTGCTTCAAATTGCAGAAATTTTCAAATTAGCGTTTTTAAATGTTATCCCGTGATTAATGTTTTAAGCATATCTGGTCTTAAATACATGTAGCAAAACTTGTTCAGTAGGGAGATAATTTGTTTGCTTAAAAATTAACCCAGATACCGGCTGGAAGTACAGAACTGTTCAGTTGCACTATATAGTTACCCCATTTTAAGGGGGGAACAGTGTGTCATGAAAGTTACRGCTTTGTTCTTTGGAAAGTTTTAATAGTGCAGGAGAATCCTGCTGTTTAGAAACTTGTTGGACTGAGGGAATGTCAGAGAGTGTGAGTGGTGTGATTGTCTTATCTCCTGGTATCACTGCATTTGAATTGTAACAGTGCAATTTTGCAATTGACCTAGGTAAGCTAATTTTTCTCTCATTATTTAAAAAAAAAAAATAAAGCTTTTCACTTCCTTTGATTATTTCAGTATTGAGCTTACAGCTGTAGTAATAATTCATTTTTGCATACAAGGTAGAATATCTTAGAGACAAAAGGAAGAGGTTGCCTCCATGGGTTTTTGATTTGAGACATTCCATTGTAAATGCARCAAATGAAGCATAATTTTCTTCCTCTGCAAAGCAGATACCTCAAAGCTTGCTGAGATAAAAGGCTCTGATCTCCTTCTCCTGCTCTGCCCACAGTGTCCAAGCACGTGTGCACCCTGAACAACGGTGGCTGCAGCCACCTGTGCCTGTTGGCCCCTGACAAGGGACACTCGTGTGCCTGTCCCACCAACTTCTACCTGGCCGCGGACAACAAGACGTGCCTGTCCAACTGCACCGCCAGCCAGGTACAGCCAGGGTTTGTGTTTGGCTGCTCTGCCCCCTGAACTGAGTAGGAAATGCAGGAACCCAGGAGATGTGGGAGCTGCAAGGAGCTGGGTAACTCATGGGTGCACGTAAAGCGTTTTGTCTCCGCAGCTGTTAGTGGGAAACTTGTACATGCTTTTTTCTCCAGGGAGTGCAGAACTTGTTCGATTTCAGATGTTGATGTTCCTGCCAGTCACCAGGACAAATACAGCTGCTAAACCCGTAAAGATTGCCTTGACAAAGCATTTGTCTGAAATGTAAAAATACACAGTGTATATAACAATGTTTTGGGAGTATTCATGCATGAGCRAACTTTGCATTAAAAAAAGAAAAGAAGCTCAGTCCAGTTAGATTGGTAAATGATAGACTTTCATTAAAAGCAATCTATTAGCTAAAAAAGATATGGTAAAATATGTAATTAATTAACAATTGCATCAATTAAATCATTGAGGTATATTCCCTATTACTTAAATTTATTTAGTTTTTCTTAAAATACAAGGTAAATAAGTAGAACTTATAGAATAAGAAATACTGAATGAGTAGAATAAGAAATACTGATTTCTTATAASAGAACCACTTTGATGAAGGTCTGTGGACTATATTAACCAGACAATTGGTGATTGTTACTGTACATATGGCCTTTAAAATATTTCTAGTAGTCTGATTTTCTAGTAGCTCTATTTCATTAGAGGTATGCTAATGACCTCTTACAATGTTCTATATCATGATTCATGATAATGATTTCCAGCATTAAGGAAAATGGTTTTACTCCTAWTTTTTMGGGAACAGTGGCYATCTTAATAAAAGATCTACAGTTTYRCTCCAATAATAATCTTATTTAAGAGATCTTCCCACTGCCTTCCTCTGTTTCCTTAAGGTGCAAATCTCTTGTAAAAGGAGGAATTTCTTTGCAATTTTCTCCCATATTTAGCTCCTCAAATTTGGCTTAAAAAATATGTCGCTTTAAAACATTTTTTTCTTTAAATGACACTAGAAGCTTATTCCATAGTGAATTCATATGATTACTGTTGACTGATTTGCTCTATTCCTGTCTAATTAATTCAATTAATTCAGTACAAATTCAAGAAATACATCACATCTTGGATACCTAAGGAGCAATATTTTATCCCTTGTGTATTCCACAGAATGGAGGGCAGAGTTGTATAAAAGGGGCAGCTTCAGACACAAAGTTAGAGGTTGACATTGGTTATTTGTCACTTTTTTCCACCTTTRGAGTCTGTTAATTCATCAGTCTGATGGCATCAGATGCAGAGATCAGTGGTAAAATTTTGTTTCAGAATTTTCAGATGATGCTGTAAATCAGARCTGTGATGTAATCACTCTTGGCAGYACAGCCACTGTTGGCTGTTTCTGATGAAAAGCACTTGGATTGTCCAGAAACTGATCTTGCAGCTCCAGACCATCCTGAAAGTCTGGAAGGTTTTACATTTGGTCTGTTCATGTAATTCAAACAATATAAACAATATCATGCACTACACCACACATTAAGGCCCTTTCCTGTATTTGGGGGTGTTTGGGTTTATCTGGAAAAATGATGTTGTCGGCTTCAACAGGTTGCAAAAACTGAGAATTGACATGTTTGTTTTGAATAAGGTCTTTAAGAATGAAATCATAGAATGCTGTAAAATACAATATAAAGTTTKTGTTGKGGTGYTGTAAGCCAGCATAGCACAGTCATYGAAASCACAGTGACTTTTATCAGGAGCAATCTCAGCACAGAACAGCTCCAAGAAAAATATTTTAAAATACAAGTTTTTGTAAAATTAACAGCCAGAAATCATTAACGAATCAACGCCTCAAGCAGCGAATCCGATTTCCATAAACCTCGCTATTACTGCCCATAAGTAAATGAATAAACTGATAAATTCTCATATCAAAGTGTTTATTCCTGCTTCCTCTCTCTCGCAGTTCCGTTGCAAAACCGACAAGTGCATCCCGTTCTGGTGGAAATGCGACACCGTGGATGACTGCGGGGACGGCTCCGACGAGCCCGCTGAGTGCCGTGAGTGCTCATCCAGTTGGGGTTTGGTGTTATCTGTAGGGTCCACAGCAAAAGTAACCCTTCATAAATTTTAGAAAGAGCGTTATTTTGGACTCTTTTGTTTGCAGCTATTTAATGTTCCTTGGTCTCTGTCAGATTTACAAAGGGTACAGGTTGTTTTGGTTTTTGTGGGTTTTTGGGGGATTTTTTTGGTCATCTTGTAAAAGATTTTCATTATCTCCTGTCTACCAGTCTTTCAAGGTCTTTTGAAAATCATACATGATTTTCATCTTTTAGACCTTTACTTCATCCTAGTTATGTTTCTGATAAAGATTTGAATTTGAAAGCTGTTTGTGGAATTCTTTGCATAAATACAGAATTTTGCCAGGTTTATGTGGTTTATTTTTCTAGGTAATAAAAATGTGGGATTCTCATTTCATTTGCTTGTTTTTCATTGCAGCTATAGAAGTTTAGACACACATTATTATTTATTGCAGTTTTCTGAGCAACAACAATATTGTCCTGTCATTCTTGCCTTCTTTCCTTAAGCTCATGTTAAAAAAAAAAAAAAGTTCTACTGTGTGTTCTACAACCTTCCAGTTAATTAACAGTTAGTTTTACTTTTTGTGTTGACATCTCTCACCCCTGTTTTTAGAATTTTATTAATTAGGATTTTTTTTTTCTGCAGAGGCTTTTGAAATTTTAATATTTGTAATCATTCTACATGAGATTCTACGCTACTCTGTTCATAAATAATAATTATATAGATATAAATAATTGCCTGTTGATTCTAATGAATCAACTGCAGAAGGAACAATGGCTTCAGAAGGAACAATGTTAGGCGTTTCTTGGGAAATAAAATTACAGTGGGACAGGGAGTTTCTTAAAAGCAGGGTTGAGTTCAAGTTTTTAGATCTTAAATTGCAAATCTCTGTTGAGCCTTTTCTAAGCTTCAACCTGCAGGGTGCTTCACTCTGTGTCATTAGAGTTGCACAAATTAAAGATATCAGACTTTGAAATCAGTTGTGTGTGTACATTTTACTTGTTAAAATATACCCAGGTGGAGATTATAGAGGCAAATACGAAAGTTTATAGGTATTTTTGATTAGTCCATAAGGTAAGAACAGCAGTGTTGAGACTTTAACCATTCCTCTGGTTGTATTCATAAGCAGTTTTGTCTTTTCTCAGCTGAATTCAGATGTCAGCCAGGACGTTTCCAGTGTGGAACTGGGCTTTGTGCTCTTCCAGCTTTTATCTGTGATGGAGAGAACGACTGTGGGGACAATTCTGATGAACTGAACTGTGGTAGGTGATTGTACACGCTGCAGCTTCAGAAATAGCCCAAACTGGTATAAATGCCATGTTTCACACTGTCAACAAATTTAAATTTTCTTCATTTACCTTTCAAGTTTTGAATATTTTCATTTTTAACTTTACATCTTTTTAATCTTTTTATTCTCTTTGAATTTGCAGACACACACGTGTGTCTGTCAGGGCAGTTCAAGTGCACGAAGAACCAGAAGTGCATCCCCATAAACCTGAGATGCAATGGCCAGGATGACTGTGGGGATGAAGAAGATGAAAGAGACTGTCGTAAGTTATGCTTAGAAAATTCTAATTCTAATTAGAGAATTAGCAGAATTGTGCTCTCTGGCTCCTTTTAAAGAAATGTCTGCAAATGTCTATATCTAAAATAATTTGAGAACATGCAAAACAGTTAATTCATGGGATTGGTGTGCAATGCTTCACATACAAGAGAACAAACTAAAATGTCATTTATTAAATTTACTTTTTAAAGTCATTGGGAAGAAGAGAGGGGTATAAACAATTTCAAGCATTTAATTGGGTTTTTGACTGAGGTTGAAACACGTTTTTGACTCTTAACCACCTCACAAATGACTCATCTTCTCGAGGCTTTCATCTGCCATGCCTTGCAGCAATGCATTTCAATGGAAAAAGATGTTTTTCAGAATCTTTTGTTGGAAAAGCTACAGATCCAAAGCTCCTTCTACATCCTTTCTCTTTCATTGATTTTTTTTTTTTTTACCTTCTCTGTTCCCCTTTCTCTGGGGACTTCATTAATTTACCTATGTAACTGGATTTCCATTTGCTCAGTTTTTAATACAACTTGCTTTTCCTAAATTCATTTTGCCTCTATATTTCTTAGATATAAGAGGAGAAAATATTTTCCGATTTGTCGTGGAACTTTATTGAATAAGTTTGTGTCTTTGATCATTTTGTAACAAAGGTGAATGGACTGCAGCTCTGTCTTTGACTCATTTTGTTGCTCAGATCTGCTGCTGATATAACCTGTTCTGAATTAGCTTCTCAAGGTTTTCATGGGCTGCATTTCTGCAGAGAACAAATTTTTCTCTAATGAGAGGAGGACTGCTTACCTTATAAAGGCTTTGTTGATGGTCATGTTTGATGGCTGTCGTCCAAACAGGAGAGATTTAAATATGGGTTTTGCAGAAAATATTGTGTGTTGGTTTGCATTGTGTGTTGGGTTTCTTTAAAAACTGATTAAGAGGGACCAGCTAAACTCCATGAAGAATAGGAGAGATTTTTTTTTTTTTTTTCCCCTTGGAAAGAACTGGCACATGGAAAATTCCCAAAACCTTGAGGTGTAGCTGGCAGAAGTTAAATCTGAGCAGCAGAGTCAGAACAGCAGAGCTCAGGGTCTGTGGGGTGGGCAGGGTCAGGATCAGCAGTGAGGGAGGGGGAAATGTCCTGGGATTTATGAGGGCAGGACAGTCTCCTTGGGACACAGAGAGAGCTTTGAACTCAGAGTCTGAAACTCAGCCACCAACCCACCTGCAAAGGGACAGTGGGAAGTGGGGGAGGTTCATCAATTTACATTTATTATTATTATTATTATCATTATAATTTTTACATTTATTATTTTTGGTGTGTCCGACCTAGATTTTATTAGCTTCTCTCTTAAGATAGGCATGTATTTTTATTTTAATCAAACCTTGCTTGTGGCTTCTGGGAATTCTCCAGTTGCTTTGAAGATATTTGGGGGAAAAAAAGGAGGTTTTAATAAATTTACCACAAATTTCATGTTGACATGGGCACCTGCTATAAGACACTCTTGTTTCCTTAACGATAACCTCTGTTTCCTTAAAGATGTTACATAACTGATGCTAGAGATACCAAATTTCTGAATTTTGTGTCCTTTAAAACACATATATTAAATATTAGTGGAAATTTTCTAATTTTGATCTGGAATTCTTCTATTTGAAGCTGAAAACAGTTGTTCTCCAGACCACTTCCAGTGTAAAACAACCAAACACTGCATTTCCAAACTGTGGGTGTGTGATGAAGACCCAGATTGTGCTGACGGATCAGATGAAGCCAACTGTGGTGAGTTTGCCAGTGGTTCTGAATCTATTAACTGCAGCTTGACTTTTTTTTAGCAAAGGAAAATAATCATCCCATTTTTTCTGTCCCCTTTCAGTGTTTGATTATACCAATCTGGAACCTACCTGGCTCATCCAGTTCTTACTGAATGGCAATCTTTGTATGAGTGGTTCATAAAATTCATATTTTACCACGGTTTTATTGGCAGGAGCTGCAGATGAGTCTCTCATTTGGCATTTTGAATCATAGAAGTGACACAGAATGTAGTGACTGTCACAGGGTACAGTGACATTCTTTATTTTTCTCACAGTGTTATCCAGTTTCTGTCAATTCAGCCTGCACTTTATTGCTGCTGAACTTCATAAATAGTGAAAATATAATAATTTGCAAATCCTGGTAGTTAAGATTGGCTGTGTAGGAGGGTCAAGAGCAAATTGGAACTTGTCATGGGCAACTTCTGCTTTTCTCTGTGAGCTCCAGGGTCAGCTGTTATTGTTGTTATTGGAGAAAAATAATAAATACAAATATTCTACCTGGGAAATGGATTACAGGCAATCAGAGGCAGAATAAGTGGGATCAGTATTGCTGGAAAATCCCTGAAAATGGATGTCAGTGCAAGACACCCACTAACCATGGCCAGAAACACTCGTGAGACTTTCAAGACGGGTCTATAAAGGAAAATATAGAAAAATGTTCTGAGCTGGAGGAGAACAAGACAAATGTGGAAGATTTAAAACTCTCACCGTTATTCATCCACGCATCAGTGAATGGTTTGATGAAACACCTGTGTCTGGACAGGTTTATCTCTGGGACAGCAGACAATCAAAACCACGGGCTGGAGTCAAGGACAAAGCACTGAGCTGCTTTTCCATGGATGTTTCAAGTAATGGACACATGAGGGTTTGTAAAGGTGCTGAAGGTGGCAGGTGTGCCTGGGAAAATGGACTCTTTCTCACCACTGAAAATCCAAGACCATCATTGGAATTGCCAAAATTGAGTCAATAATTAATCCTGTCAACTGGGGGATGTTTACAATCCAACGAATCATTTGTTTTGAAGAAACGATGAACAGAAAGGAGATGAAACTTTACCACAGAGGCTCCATACCCCCTTCTGGGTTGTTCCTGAAACATCCTGCACTGCTCACTCCCTGATTGACTTCACGGGTGCTTTCTCCTACACTGTTCCACGTGACCTGGATCTCCAATGTGTTTTTGATTTCCAGCTGGGGCAGCATTCCAAGCTTCTTAACTGTGGATTCACATTTTGATGAACCCAACTGATAAGGCAAAAATGGTCTTAAAATAATTCATCCATTAATATCTTCAAGTAATTTTTTTTTTTTTTTAAGAAAAAGGGAAAAAAACCCAAAAGCTGACACTGAATAGGAAAAATTGTGTTTGTAGTGAGAACTTCACTCTGAACTATCATCTTACAGTAGAAAGAATAAAAATTATACAAAAAACTAAAAAGTATAGAGGAGCAATGTGTGTAATCCCATGCTGAACAGGTTTTTTAAATCAGTGTACAACTGGAGGTGTTGGTTCATATCTGAGACTCATCTTCACTTTTATCCTGTTGCTGGCAGTGGAAGTCAGTATCCAGGGAGGAACATGTGAGCAGCGCATACATTTACTGAAACTTCCCTGGGATACCCTTACAACCTGACAATCAGAAATATTGTGAGTCAAGTATGTGACTCTTAATACAATAATTCATCATAGATTTCATTCTCATTTTACCTTTGTAAAGTTTTCAGAACATTCTGCAGTGAGATGTTCCATAGTTTAATCTCATACATCCCTGAAAAAACACATTTTTATTGTTAATCTCCTGGCTGCATACACTGCTCTCGGTTTTCATGTTGGACGAGACAGAGTAATTTATCCATAGTCACAATTTCTGTGCCAAATACGGTTTTTGAGTACACATGGAACAGCTAAACCTTGACAAGAACAGGGTGCATTTAATCACATTTTGAAGTTTTCCGTATATTTAGTATTTGAAATATGTTTCAATGACCTTACCATGGCAGTAGTTTCAACAGAGTTTGGTCTTCTGCATTTTTTTTTCCAATTTAAAGATTGTTATTTCTATGGACAAAGTTTGATAGAATCAAATTCTAAAGCTGGAAGCTGAGTATGAAAAAGATGTGCATATGTTGATGTAATACTAATTTGATATTGTTTGGAGTTCATTTCTGAAGTGCCTGCAATGCAAAACTTGTGTAAAGGGTAATCTGTTTTTGCTTGAGTGCTGCACAGCCATATGTATTTTGCTTAGTCAACATCTGCTGCTGTGTGTTTTTGGAGATATTACACTGAGTAAATTTCCTAGAAATAGTGTAAATGTGTATTTAGTCTTCTGTGGTTGCTTTCCAGCACAGACAGTTGAAGTAGAATCAGGAAATGTGTTTTTATTAAGGAGTGTGTGGTGTTGCTCGGGAAAAAGTAGGTACAGTTAATTCATGCTGTCTGAGAAATTAAAGAAAGCCATTAGATTAATCTAATCCTTGCTTTCAATTTCAGTACTTTACATCAAAATGGACCATTTTGAGTTAGAATCTGAAGAAAGCTGTGTGTGGTTTTGGAAAGTGATTGTAATGTGCTTTAAAGGTTGTGTTTATTGCAGGTCTTGATTATCTTAATGTGTCAACATTGGCATGACTGCTTTCTGCTTCCTCACTTTTTTTTAATATTAATTTGATTGTTAGCTGTGAGAGTCCTAAAGTAGGCTTTTTTTTCCTGTTGATAAAAGAGTATGTTCTTCAAGGCATTTGAAGGATACATTATAAAAACTTCCTTCAACAGGTTTATAATTTCCTGTGTCCAGCATTGGTGACAGCCTGCCGGGCTCTGGGACCCCAGCTGATCCTGGATCAAAAGCAAATTCCTTTACTTTTTTGGATTTTGTCTCTCTCAGACTCACACACGCACACATGCATAGACATGAAAATATATGGAATTAAAATCCTCAAACAGCAATGTCATACAATTAGTGGCAAAATAGTGTTATCATTCACAGGGGTTGATATTTGAATTAAAGTGCTTTTGGGGTGCGTACAGGGTTTTTTGCTTTGTTTTGTTTTTGTTTCCCCATTTAAGGTTTCCGTGTTTTTTCCATGTTCCAGTATTGCAATGACCAGATTTTTGAGTGCACACAACTGAGCTGCACCACCATTTACCTTCACCTTCTTGATACTGAAATGCAGTTCTGTTTTCTCAATCTAGTGCTGGAACTACAACTGAAACAATTGAGAAAAAGCAGCATTTTGGATGGTAGCACCAAAACTAACACCCCTAATTTGTGGTTTAGCAGAAGAGGAAGCAGTTTGATTGAAGATGCTGCTTCTGTCACTCATTAGCAGCCCCAGAGTGGCCCTGAAAGCAGAGTAAAGCTGCTCTGACATGTTATGACATCGCCTAAAGGAAATTTAAAAAATTCCTAGTGAAATATCACAGTGACATGTAATTTTAAATGTCATTGAGGCTTTTACAAAGCAAACTTTTTTTCTTTTTTCCCCCTCTAACAAAAATGTCACTGATAACTTTTTAATTTACTTCATTTCATCTCAGTCCTTAGGAGCAGAACGAATTATTCAGGAATTGCTCACAGAAAACACAGAGGGAGATCCTTTTCTGCTGGAGGAGTTCAGGGTGTTCTCTATCTCTAAGAGCCTCTGCTTTCAATGCTCCTCTGTAAATAGAAAAGCTCATTGAAAATATTCAACATGAAGGAAATTTCCCTCAGTTTAGCATTACAGGCTTTATAATGTTTTACCTTTATATAAGTAGCTTCCAATCCAATCCATCAGTAGGTAAAAACTGAAATCAAAGTGCAAAGTTTTCTATCTTAAATTATTATATTCAAAAATAAGTCTTGGGAAATACATATTCTCAAATGAAATGCATTTTTCAAATTAATATTCTTATGGTTTACTGTGATCTAATCTTTTGTAAAGCAATCTTACAGATAAATTCAAGGAAAAGTTAATACAGTTTTTGAGAGTCAGTGTACTAATACCCTCTCATTGAACAACCTTGTGACTCCTTCTGAATTTCATATTTTTAACATTATATGGCAGTTTATACAGTACATATTTTAATTTCACCAAGTTTAAGATTAAGGTATGAATGTATAATAGAAGCTTAAAGATCGTTACGAGAAATAAATTATTCCTGAAAGTAACATTTCAAACATTATGGTTGCTCCTTCTTAACATTATCCAGCAACACTACCACATGTTTAGTGGAAGTCTTTCCCATTTTAACCGTTTGCTTGCAATGCTGTAAACATTATTCATCTTAATTACAGATAAAAAAACTTGTGGGCCTCATGAGTTCCAGTGCAAAAACAACAACTGCATTCCAGATCACTGGAGATGTGACAGCCAGAATGATTGTGGAGATAATTCTGATGAAGAAAACTGTAGTAAGTAACTTTTACCTTAGTCCATCTTATAATAGAGTCAGTTTATCAACGTGGAAGAGGAATCTTTTGTATTTTGATAAAACACAGGGGCATCTTTTCATTCAGCATCCTCTGATCTGCTGAACATCAGTTGGCCACAACTGAAAATGTCCCTGTAATTCTCCAATTCTATTCCCTCTTATAAAGAGTTGAAATTCTGTATCAGCTATGAAAAAATGCCTAACCTGCAACTACTCGATAATCTGGTGAATTAAAAATAAATATTACAATTAGCTTACCTTTTTCAGTTATTTACATATCACATTTCTTACCTCTGAATAAGAATCATAAACACCATTCAGAGGTAAAGTGAAAAGCATTAGTTAACAAGGAATTCTGATCAAACACTACCTGCTCATTACATTCATTATATTCTTGAGATGATTTGCCTTGTTTCATATTGAGAAGGCAATTTCTATAGTACTTAATTGCATTAAGAAGTAGATGTGGTAATTCAAAGTAGCTCAGTTACCCACTTCTCTCCTACACACGGGGAACCTGAAGGCCTAATAAATCTCTGTAATACCACTTCCAGGGAGTTAATTTCCATCTGGTTCTCAGGAAGAAATGAAAAAAATTGTGATGGTTTTATCTGATAATTATTGTCTTTATAACATATTTCAAGGGGGACGTTCCCTAAATAGTTCTGAAGGGCCTTCTCTTGACAATTTCTGTGGGTTTTTTTTTTTCCTTTTTACTCAGAAATCCAAGAAGTTAATATCTTGTTCTTGCACATAATCTCAAATGCTCATCCCTGATTATATATCATGAATGTGTAATAATGTACGAAGTTTAATAGATTAGGCATTTTAATTCTATGTAAATGCAATCTGCCCTCTTGTCCAGTTCAAGACAAGGTAGAAAATGTCTCATTCTGCTTGGGAGGTTAAAATGGATTTTTTTTACCTTATAATCACTCCCTGCATTTGAAAATGTTGTGAGTTTTACTACTGCAAGCAATAGTGCTGTGGTTTTCATATGCAAGTGTTTCATATCAAAGGGAAAATGTCGTGTGGCTCAGTGATCACTCAGAGCCTTTTGTTGTTACACCCTGGGGGTGGTTGGCTCACAAAACCTTTCTTAGCTTTGTGGGAGATTTTACTTAGGAATTGATCATTAGTGTCAGTTTTCTGTATTATAAGTAGCAAGAAATTATTTTATGTTCTTTTAGTCTCATGTAAAAATCAAATAAACAGTCATAATTTTGTATAGTGGTGTTAATCTACATGACTGGACAATCTGCTGAATGTTTGGAAAAAAACCAAATCAAAACAAAAACTTCCACTAAGTATTATTGCTGTTTCCAAAATAAGTGTTGAGCATTATATTTAGAATTTGCCATGTATATCACCTAGCAGTAATAATTTTCCTCTTTAAAGTTCTGATCATTATGCTATAAATTGATACAAAAAAAAAAGAAAAAAAAAATGAGAGTGAAATAATCTTTTTTCTTTTTTTAATGTATGAAGTTTTCCAACTTAGTTATATCAATAACTGAGTTATATATTCAGTCCTTTGTTATTCTCTAGACTTGCAGATAAAGAAATGTGTAATTAATCATAATGGATGGAATTAGTGAGTTGGGAGTATCCAGACACAGAAGGTGAATCAAACTAAAGGGTGCTACTTTGTTGTTTCGTTTTTTTGTTTTTTGTTTTTTGGTTTTTTTTTTAATTTACTTTTGCTTGTTAAATGCGTACATAAATTCTAACTATAGTTTCTACTGTTTAAATTAAATGCAGTAGGCTGGCGCAGTTTTAAAATTCAAAATCTTCAAGCACTGGGACAGTACATAATACTGTTCAGCTGTCTGAAAGAGTTGTATGAAATTTTTATAGACTATCAAGCCACTTATGGAATAAAGTGTAATGAAACAAATATATATGAAATTAGAACTTCAAAACCATTTGACAAAATACGTTACATTGCACAGTGAGATAAATTGTTCATGGCATACATGAATATAATATGCAAGGGGCTGTCAGGCAACTCTATCAGAAAATGAGTTGTTTCTCAAGAATGCAGAATGAATTCACTGAATTATAGACATTCAGCTCCAGCATTTACACTTTTCTATGTAGTTTCTTCACATGCAAGGTGTTCACTGTTCTGATGAATTTATCAGAAGTGAAACAGTAAAAATATTAAAAATATCATATATGGATGTGAAAGTGTAGGATACATTGTTAACTCTTCAGAGGTGACATCTGTTTGAAGGGAGGATTTGCTTTCAGAGTTTATCTGGATTTAAAAAAAAAAAAATAGAGCAAAAGTAGTGTTTTCTCTTTCAGGAAACTCCAAAAAAAAAAAAAAGGAAAATTCCATAGTAATGACTATCTTATTCCTGCTAAAAAGAAGACACCAGTAATTTTGGGTTTTTTTTAATGTGATTAAATAAAATACAATCTACTGTAAACATTGAAGCAAAGCAAACATAATGTTGTAGAAAGACACAAATTCAATCAGTGTAAAAATATTCACGTTGCTAGAAGTTCTTCCTYGTGCTGTTTTGTTGYTTCCMCAACTTGCCAAGAAAACARATTAGKTMATTTTTGTCCYGGGATAAGTTTGKGTCTCAAATKCTTTTCTTGGGAAGGAGTTTCAGTGATTTTATAAAGCAGAAATTAAAGAATGCTGTCTTTCATTGGTTGTATAGAAGTCAATTAATATTTATTCCTTTAATACTGCTTTCTATTAATACTGATCCCATTCACTGACAATCTGAGCACTGATGGAAAAGCACTTTACCATGTTCATATGTAAATCACAGAGATGGATTCCAGCAGCAGCAGAAATATTTCTTGCAAGCAGAGAATTGAGTACTTAGCTCTTTGTGTACATTTTTCCAGAATCAAATCTCTGCTTATAAATAATTTATTAGCAGTATAGCAGATGTATTTGCTTGTATTTTTCAAATCAATATAGAAGTATGACAAATGTCTTTTTGCATGTGAATTACTTTTCCCACAACTTATTTCCTTTATACATGTCATCAAATCATGAAATTCCCCTTCTTGGTCTGTTGACAACAAAAAGAATCAAACATCAGGGATTTATTAAAGCTTTCCCACATTTACCGCATTTACCAAATTCTTCTCAGTTTGAGACCTCTAATWTTGTGTTTCYTTTKCTTYATCACTGTGGTGCATTTYACAAAAGCAYTCATRTTTGCACCTTCTGTGTCCTGCTAAAGGACCYYTCAGCATYCCCAGTTCATTACTSTCCATTCCTACTGTCTGCTCTCTTYTTT